GTTTTTTTTTGTGTCTGTTACCACTTTTTCTCAGCTCTCACCAAACCGATTTCTTTCAATGATACGTCAAAAGATCACAAATTGTATCTAGTCGAAGACATTACCTTCAAAAATTGAAAAAAAATCCCTCGTTCCCAGTAAATGGGGGAAACCTCCAAAAAAATTACAAATTTAAAAATCACTAATTTTTGAAATTTTTTTTACTTAAAATTGCCATAACTTTTTTTAAAAATAACCGAATCAATATAATTTTTTTTTATATAGATGCATGATATCATTACCTTTTATTTGGTATATTTTTTTTTTATATCTGACTCTTTACCTGCCCACAGGGGGGGGATTTAAAATGACAACTTTTTCAACTTTACTTTTGAAAATGTTCTGGAAAGTCTGACACTTTTATATATATATCTTAAATTAAAGCTAATGTAATGCACTTTATTATGGAAAAAATAAATTTCGTACTTTATTGTGTCTTCAGGGTGAAATTGGCTACTAAATGCTATTTTTGTGTGAAAATTCTCGATTTTATTTTTTTATTTTTAACTTTATAATGCTATAACTTATTGAAAAGTGTATGGATCAACATAATTTTTTTATGAGAAATAATAATTTTTAATAATCCCTTTTTCATTCGATATACTTTATCTGAATCAGGATATTAATATCGAACTAGCAAATCATGTTGCTTTTGGAATAATCCACCAATTTTTTAAAATTAAACACTATCTAAAGATTTGCATCGAAGCGTTTTTTTTGATAGTGATTTTAATCACTGTCAGATATCATAATACTTGATCCAACTATGCCACGTCACCACTGTGCCACGCCCCCCCTGTGCTGGATTTTTTTTTTTTTTAAATTTTCAATCCTTTTTGAAATATAACTTATATTCTTTAGTTTTTTTATTTTTAAAGGAACTAAATATTCTAAATGAAAAATTAAGTAATACCCAAAAATTCAATTATGAAAAAACTAATGAAAATTCTGTGGCTTCAACAAAATATAGTGTGACTGAAATCAGTGATATACAAAAGAAAAATATCACTTTAAATTATTCTGAACAACAAATAAGACTTTTAGGTGAGTATTGAAATTTTTTATACAAAATAACACGTATGATGTTCTACCATTTTTTTATAAAGTTTTGCATTCAAACACAATTACATAATTCTTATGATAAACAACATATATTAAGAATTATGTAAATAATAAAATATATAATACATACATACATTGAACATTTTTTACAGCTCTCAGTTCCATCTATTTAAATATCCATCCACTTGGAGCTAGTATTGAAAACATTTTCATTTACATTAAAGATATTAATAATGAAATAACAATAGAGGAGTTAGAAAAATTACTTAAAGATAGTGACCATTTGTTTGAAAAATTTCAACTTGACAATAAACAATATCGGTGGAAATTGAGCAGTTTTCTTAAAAATTAGATAATAACGTTTGTATTTCAAAAAAAATTGTAAAGCATTATATATAAAATTTTATTTGAAATACTATTAATTTTAAATAATTATGGTTCTATGAAATCAATTTAAAGAACTTATAATTATAGTATAACATGTTTTTTTGTATTGCCCATATTTATATTGGGATCTTGACCCCTAGTAATAAATTTTATGAGTTATATAAATTTATTGTTCAGAAATCTGTTGATAATCAATTTTATATAAAATTATTTTATTAGTAGTTAAAATTAGTAATTTATTTATGTTAGCAAATAAAAGCTATACAATCAGAAATAAAACTTTGTAAAATATTCTTATTTTCTCCTTTAAAGTTATTTGAATATGCACCTGGCAAAAAGTTATAATTGAATAAAGTATTAAATTATTACAGGAATATTATTAATCCATCCAAATTAAGTATTAACCCTTTCAGTCTACAAGTTCTTTATAGAGGACACCCTTATAAAATGAATAAGAAGTATGCTCGATCAAATTAGTGCGCATAATAGTGCCATAAATACATTGTGTTGTATATATTCTATATTAAGGAGCACTGCCCCGATTTAGCCAAGTATTTTAATAAACTTTTTTTAGTTAATTTCAGTTTCAAATTTCATTTATAATATTTTTATTAACTTCAACTGTGTTTTAATACATCTTTATTGTATTATCTGCTACACTGTAGTAGTTTATCAACCAAGATATAACTCGTTGATAAATCTAACCTGAGAAAAACTTTAACTGCATAGTAAAATTTTAAATGTTTAACTGCATATAAATAGTTAAAAATCAATTTATTGTGTAATTACTTACAGTAAGTATAAATTGTTACAGTATTTATAAAAACTGTAGTTATAATGATTATTTAATAAATTTTTGAATTTTTTTTTAGCTTCGATGCGAAGCTGAGAAGGTATTGGTTTTACTAAGATGTGTTTATTTTTTTTTTTTGTGTCTGTTACTATTTTTTCTCAGCTCTCACCGAACTGATTTCTTTCAATGATACGTCAAAAGATCACAAATCGTATCTAGTCGAAGACATTACCCTTAAAAATTGAAAAAAATTCCCTCGTTCCCCGTAAATGGGGGAAACCTCCGAAAAAATTACAAATTTAAAAATGGCTAATTTTCGAAATTTTTTTTACTAAAAACTGCCGTAACTTTTTTAAAAATAAACATATCAATATATTTTTTTTTTTATAGATGCATGGTGTCATTACCTATCATTTGGTATACTTTTTTTATAAATCTGACTTTTTACCTGCCCACAGGGGGGGATTTAAAATGACAACTTTTTTACAAAAAATTAATTTTTTCAACTTAACTTTTGAAAGTGTTCCGGAAGGTCTGACACTATTATATATATCTTAAATTAAAGCTAATGTAATATACTTTATTATGCAAAAAAAAAATTTCAGACTTTGTTTTATCTTCAGGGTGAAAATGGCTACCGAATGCTATTTTTGTGTGAAAATTTTCGATTTTGTATTTTATATTTTTAACTTTATTATGCTATAACTTTTTGAAAAATGTATGGATCATTACAATTTTTTTATAAAAAGTAGTATTTATATAGATCTTTCATTCGACATACTTTTTTTTTAAATCGGACCATTTCTCTTAATACAGGGGGGATTCAAAACATAAAAATGCATTTAGAAAGTAGAACTTTTTCAACTTAACTTTTGAAAGTGTTCTAGAAAGTCTGACACTTTTATATATATCTTAAATTAAAGCTAATGTATTTACTTTATTATGCAAAAAAAAAAATTCGGACTTTAGTTTATATTCACGGTGAAAATGGCTACCAAATGCTATTATTGTATGAAAATTCTCTATTTTATTTTTTACATTTTTAACTTTATAATGTTATAACTTATTGAAAAGTGTATGGATCAATACAATTTTTTTATGAGAAATATTATTTTTTAATAATCTCTTTTTTATTCGATATACTTTATCTTAATCAGGATATTAATAAGGAACTAGCACCACAGAATAGATTAAACCAGAAGTGACACTCTTAGTTTTTGCTGATAACAAGCTTATGTCGCTCAGTGTTGCCACTTAAGAAAAAAAAACGTATTTCCTTTTTTCTTTACATACGGTCACATTGTTCAACACCATTATTAATGGTTTGTTTGTAAACACAATGTTTATAAACATGGTTTATTGGTAAACAAACCGCCTACACATGTCATAAATCTGTAGCGACGCACTGATCATTCGTGAATTGTGGTTTGTCTGCGCTTCATGTGTGTTGTGTTCCGTTCACCGTTGTTGTGAGTTTTGCTATTATATTTTGACTAGTGATTATCACTTGCTGTAGTTTTAATTTTTCAATTGCAATGGACTACTTTTTAACTGCAAAACGAAAAATACTTAAATGTTCAATAAAAAACTGCAAAAGTTTAGAAGTAGATCCGGCATTAGTAAGTCATTTTTCTTTTCCTAAGGATCCTTCTAGGTAAGTAATTTGTTTAGCATTTATAAAATATATTTCAATTAATTGAAATATTAAATTATTATTTATTGTATAGGTGTGAAGTTTGGATTGACAAATGTGGATTGTCCCATCTCAAAGGAATTGATGCAGCAGTTTTGAACAAAAATTATCGGTTGTGTTCATTGCATTTTGAAAACTGTATGTTTGAAATGAAAAACAGAACCGTCTTAGACCTGATGCTATTCCAACGTTATTTGAAGATGCACTATTAAACAAAGAGGAACAGGCTGTTGAAACTATTGCTGATAATGATAATGAAACAGTGGAGTGCTTGCCATCATGTTCAACACCTGGTATGTTTTTACTTATAACTTTAGCTATTTCTAAAATAATTTATAAATACTTAATTAGACTGATTATTATATTATAATACTATTTAATTTTTATTTAACAATTGGATCAGTCATTTCTTTTGTCATTCTATAAAGCATACCCCACAAGAGACCACTCAACATTTGGAAATTTAATGATGCCGCACGATACATTTTATAATTTTATTAATGAATTAGAAAATATTTTTATTAATAACTTTTCCACACTTGCTATTGTAGATGGAGTTGGAGCCGAATTAAAAAATGATTTTTGTAATGTACCTTTTAACCACCCTTGTAAATGTTTTGATAAATTGTATTTAATTAATTTGTTTACAAGATTTAGAATATTTACAGCTATAAAATTTTTAAATAAAAATTTAATGTCTGAGAAAAAAATTAAAAATAGGAAATTGTCTATTTTAACTCATCTATAAATTATTTATGTATATGATATTTGTAAATTATTGTAATATATGTTTTAAATAAATTTAATATTATGTGGATATTGAATAATTTTTTTTTTTCTAAATAAGTCTTTATTAAATATACATAAAATAAAAAATATATTAAACAAACTAATTACACATAATGAAAACATTAATTGAAAGTTTTAAAATGGTGTTATATGTTTAGAAATAATAATAAAATAAATCCAAAAAATTTACTATGCAAATTTTCTAAAATAATTAGCATGTAAATAATACATTTAGAGTTCAAATCAACCGCCGATGTACAATTATTGTACAGTACAATGAATTATATGCATACAATTACTTATTTTATTGTTTTTATGGTAACACTGAGCGACATAAGCTCAAAATTACCGTACTCTCATAAGAATACATGTAATTTTTTTATCAGTGTCCATTCTGGTTTAATCTATTCTGTGCTAGCACTATCTAGAGATTTGCATCGAAGCGTTTTTTTTTATAGTGATTTTAATCACTGTCAGATATCATTATACTTGATCCATCTATACCACGTCACCACTGTGCTGGGTTTTTTTATCGCTCATTTCTTGTGATGCAAGTTTTTTATTTATAGTCCGTATTCTAAAATATATTCCTGTTCTACTAATGAAGTATCCACGATTAAATTTATTATAAAATATCATTACAATGCGTTGTTTTAAAGTAATTAATATAATTATTACTTAAAAATTATGTCTATTATATATATTATATCAGAATTAAAAAATCGCGCGATTTTAAAGGCATTCGTCAATCAGTCGTATTTCATTGATCGTATACGAATGCACAAAAACACAAGGCGACGCACGTGCTCATTCTACGACGAAAATGCGAACTGTGATCAAGCCTAGTGATGGGCATAATCGAGATATTTCGATTATTGAAATCATATATATCATATAATCGAGATATTCTGATTTTTTAAATAATATTGATTATTCTATAATCGAGTGATTATTTTTAATGATTTCTCGTTTATTATGAAAACAATTATTTCTTGATCTTGAAATGTATATAATCGAATAAAAGTTATTTCGAATGATGTCTATGAAACGAGAGAATACTATTTTTAAGTTTTTATTTAGCATAAATTATAGTCGAATTATTATTAAATTGTTGACTTCGAGTCTTCTTATTTTCAACTCGTTCAATCGCTACTCATGGCAACACCTTATCTGTCACATTTTTGGGAAGTATGTGACGATTAGAACAAAGTTTTGTCCTGAACTGGCTAAACTACTGAGTTCTGATTCTCTCACTAGTTGTGAATTTATGAAAAATCAATTAGGTGTGGAATCAGGTGTTTTAATTATGATGGTCAAGCCGGCTATTGCTACCTTATCTTATGTTTTTATTTTTAAATTTGTTATCGGTTTTTTTTCGTCATTTCTACGGTCTAACTCGGTTGTATAAATAAATACATATAATGCGATGTATGTTTATAAATGAGACAATATACATATTTATTATTGAAAGAAAGAAAGCATAACAGGTAGATTTTTTTATAATTCAGAATTTACAGTATTTTAGACCAACAGATTAATTTAAAATATAGATAATAATTATTAAATAAAAAAAATTAACAACTTGTCTTTTATTTACAGCACTTATTAATAATGCATTATTAATATATTATTGTTATTATTATTCCTAAATTATAGTTTAATATAATAATTATAAATAAACACCAACAAATAAAAAAAGCAAAATTAAATTAATAATTATTTACTATAGGTATATTTATTCATATTTCGAATAATTTTTCGATTCTCTCGATAAATAATAATAGTTGATTATTCTTATCATACGAGCAGACGATTTTAACTTCGAGTGATTTTTCGAGAGATTCACTCGATTATGAAAATGTCTCGATTACTAATCATTCGATTATCGAAATCATTCGATTATGCCCATCACTAATCGAGCATACTTCTTATTAATTTTACTATGGAGGACACTAGATTACCTTATAGACAAATTCTATGATATAACTGTGGTTAGTCATAATGTGCTCTCAAGAAGACGTATATATTTCATATTTGATCAGTTGCCCCATCTAGTATTATGATTTCCAATTAAATTTTAAATACTAATCTTACTATGAGAATCGTTGATTATTTTTCTAAACAATATATGTATTTATAAAATCAACCAACTTACTATGTTATGTAAATGTTCATTCAATCACAAATTATACTTTTTTTTTCAACGAAAGTATTCAGTCATGAGATTCTGGGAAAATAATTAGCGAAGGTCGAAAAAAAGTTGCCTGTTTTCGAAAAAAAACGCTCGCTAACGCCAGCGTTTACAACTTAATATTTGAAATTTTCATTCATCCAAAGAAATGATTGAGATAGCATAAAAAAAAATTAATTCATTAATTTTTTACCGTTCTACGAACTTTTTTTCATACGCTCGAAACGCCAGGATATGTCAACCGAAATTCTTGCGACACTTAACGATTTTTTTTAAAATTCGCAACTTCACGACGGCTATCTACACGTGCCGAGGAAGGGACGAAAATACGAGAACTGACCAAAACTCAAGCCGATTTTTCTGTGAGGTAATATTACATGTACACATCTGTAACTCATTACATTTCTTTTTTTTAGACATCGCTAAAAAGTTATGCCCTAGTTAATTATAGGAACGGTCCTGTTTACACGAGTTAAATAAAAAAAATGTTTGCGATGAATGTTAGAATTGATTCGGCTAGTGGGAAAGGATGAATGTCCAAAAATGTTTTATTTTTGTAATTTTGCTTTTTCTTGAATTAGATAATAAATAGATAGGAAAAGTAAAAATTACAAAAATAAATTTTTTTTGGACACGCCCAGTTTGCAACTTAGCGACTCAATTGAAAGTAAACGAAATGCCTTCTTCAAAAATCGCGACAAAAATATTTAATCACGGTAGTAACAGACTGTATAATTTGTGTTAATATATTAAATAAAAGTATAGACTGGTAGTAATTGCAAACTAGATTTTTATTATGATACCATTATCAAATTAATACTATTTGTTATTTTTGATAAGAACAACACGTGACATTTATCGAATCATTGGAGTAAAGTTATTTAATTAATTAACTCTTAAAATATTATACGTAATATTACCTTTATTTCTAAATAGTATAAATATGAAATCAAAAAAAAAAGGAGGAAGACGTTTAAAACGAGATTGGCGTAGGAAAATAGACGTAGCTGATGTTGACACATATTTAGATGAAGAAAGATTGAAAGAAAGAATTGGGTAAACTTTTTAAAATGTTCATTGAAAAATTAGTTGTAACATTTTCATTTATATATATTTATATATCTCCTCTGAAGTTCAACTAAGGATCAGAAAGATGAAGATTTATTTCATGTTGATACAAGTGGAAAAAATATAAAAAAGGAAAAAACTAAGAAGAAAACTTTAGATACTCCTTTAAAATGTTTATCAAGCTTACATTCATCTTCTGCTATACCTCCATTAGCTAAAAGGTAAATTTGTATGTAAAAGTTTATTGAATTAAAGATGTTATATCCCATTATATTCAGAGATAAGTATTTGAAACTCATTTTATCTATGTGAGCCTTACTATTATAAAGGATATATTAAAAAACAATAAATATAAAAATGTTACAAGTTTAAGTTATTAACATTTATAATTTTTACCAAAACATTTCTTTTCTTTTTTAATATTTAAAGATAATAATATGAAATTCAACATGATTATTTTGAAAAGAGAAGCCACTGACTGACATTTTATTGAAATTACATTTTTTTTTTTTAGTTGAATTTTAGCTTCGATGCGAAGCTGAGAAGGTATTAATATTACTATGATGTGTTTTTTTTTGTGTCTGTTACCACTTTTTCTCAGCTCTCACCGAACCGATTTCTTTCAATGATACGTCAAAAGATCACAAATTGTATCTAGTCAAAGACATTACCCTCAAAAATTGAAAAAAATTCCTTCGTTCCCCGTATACGAGGGAAATCCGCCAAAAAATTACAAATTTAAAAATCATGATGCATGATGTCTTTACCTATCATTTGGTATATTTTTTATATATGTGACCCTTTACTTGCCCACAAGGGGGGATTTAAAATGACAACTTTTTCACAAAAAATTAATTTTTTCAACTTTATTTTTGAAAATGTTCCGGAAGGTCTGACACTTTTATATATATCTTAAGTTAAAGCTAATGTAATTTACTTTATTATGCAAAAAAAAAATTTGGACTTTATTTTATCTTCATGGTGAAAATGGCTACCAAATGCTATTATTGTATGAAAATTCTCTATTTTATTTTTTACATTTTTAACTTTATAATGTTATAACTTATTGAAAAGTGTATGGATCAACATTATTTTTTTATGAGATATAATATTTTTTAATAATCCCTTTTTCATTCAGGATATTAATAAGGAAATAGCAGATCATCTATACTTGTCCCATCTATGCCTCGTCCATACTGTGCTACCATTTTTATTATTTATTTATATTTTTTTTACTGTGGGCCAAGAAGATCTTTGCACCACTTTTTTTTAAGTTTAATGAAGATTATCAGTCATTGTAAGTAGAGTGAGATCCTTTACTATAGATTTAGGATAGTTAATAAAGGAATGGTAAAATTGAGTGTAATGTTCTTTTGCAACTTGCAATATTGTTTTTAGTTTATAAGTCTGAATGTTTACTAAAATTAAAAAATGTTCAATATAATATTACATTTTTTGTTTAACTGTATATATATATTATATTCAAATATTAATAAAAAAGTTTACTAAATTAGTAAAGAACTTATTGATCCTTATAGATACCTTATGATTTTATATAATTTTCACTTCACAATCCTAAGCTTCAATGGCATAACTATTAAGTGAAGGCTGTTAGGATTAAAATATTATTTTCCATTTAATTATTCTTATCACATTTTCTATTTTAGAAGTACCAAAAAAATTAAAAAAAGTTTAAAAATTGATCATGAGTTTGATAAAAATATTAAACCACTTAAAAAAACTATTACAAAGAAGAAAAAACTCAAAGAAATAAATAAAATATTGAAATCTAAAGTAAAACTATTAACTGATAATCCAGTAAATGATATTTTTAAAAAGGACTTGTGGTCAAATTATAGAGGTAAATATGGAAATAATTAGTAACAATTTTATAAAATCACTTAAATAGTATTTTTATTTAAAAAAAATTTGTTTTAGATCCCGGACAAAGGAAAGATAAACTTACAAAAAATGTTTTAAGTTGGCTACCAAACGAAGTGCTAAAACATAATGCCAAAGTTATACCATCATTAATCTCAAAAACAATGTCTCATCCAAATCAAAGCAATGTAGATGATATAAAAATGCCACATCCTGGACTTTCTTACAATCCAGCAATTGAAGACCATGTTTCTTTATTAGAAAATATTGCTGTCAAAGAAACAGAATTTATCAAACATGAAGCTCATATAAAAAGATGTACCCAAAAATTATTCAAACAAGTTTCTCAAGACACACATGAAGTAATTTTAAAGTGAAAAGTTACTGTTTATGTATTAAATTATTGTTATTATTGTAAACACTTGATATTATGTGGGGAGTTGTTAAATAAAAAAATATGAAATGTTGAAAAATATTAAAACCTCAAAGGTATCATCTGAATTATCAAAAATAAACATTCTAATAAAAAATATGCAAAAAAAGTTTAGTTATAAAAAAAAAAAAAATTATCTTTAAACTCATCATATTTTTTCTCATTTTTAAATCAAATTGTTAAAAAATTTAATTAATAAATATTATTTGATTTACGATGGTTAAAATTATTTTTTGGGAAATATCAGTTTTTCTTTCTTAAAAAGTTAACTTTTTACTAGAGCAACCTCATTATGAAATTAACTACATATTTCCTAGTTTTTTTCAGAATATTAGAGAAGTTTGTCTTTTGGAAAGTATAATATTAATTATGTTTAACGTTGTGTATTATGTTTCACTCTTAAACTTAATTGTTCAAGTATATCATAAATTATTTTTAAGTTTATAATTTCTATTTTTTAATGTTTTAGAAAATGATTATCGAAGAAATGACAGAGGGATTGCCTGGGTTTCAAAATGATACAATTACTGTAGACACAGTTGAAGATAATTCTGAATATAAAGCAATTAATCCTCCTACAACAAGAGATAATCAGAAAACACAAAAGAAACGTAAAATCCAGAGACGTTTAAGAAATGAAGAAGCTATAAGAATGAAAGCTAAAATTGAAAAAAAGAAAATTTCTGATCTTTACAAGTATAATTTATAAATATTTATTTTTACTCAATTCCCTTCTATGTTGTTTAATGTTCTTAAAATAAATTGCTCATTCATTAAAAAATACAGGCTTATAACTGATAGTTTGAATAACTTATAACTATTCAAATTATATGAGTATTACTTTAACCATCCTCTTTTTTTATGTTCTTTGTTTCTTTAAATGCATACTACTAGCCTAAATAAAAGTGTATTGACTTGTATATCTCACGCCTGGAAGTTTCTAATGATAAGTTTTACCATCTCAGGTTACACACTCAAATTTCTTTTTAGTGATTTTGATACTGAATAATATACTTTTAAAAACTAACTATATAATTCTCTGGTAACCTCTTCATTAACTACTTCTAATCATTTCTATTATTGGAATATTATCAAAGAAATTTAGAAATTATCAATCACCTCTTGTGATTAATAAGTGTATAAGCTAAATTATCTATTTTTAATCAATAAATATATGGTATGTTTTTATCACATTTCCACAATAAAAGTTTTTATTTTGATTTCTCTATTGATATATATATACCTTTTTATGAGTGATAAAATAAAAATTCAAATTTAGTAATAATTAAAAGACTTATTAAAAAATTTCCAGCCAATTTTGGTGATAATTGTAAAATTATTTAGGTTACGTTTTATTAATCAAGAACTGGATGAGTTAGAACATAATGAATGTAAAAAGAAAATCAAGAGATTAAAAAAAAGACAGTTACACAATATGGGTACTAGACGTTTAGGAACAAATAAATTTGTAGAAAAATCTGAAGTATTTGCTCTACCAAATGAAATTAAAGGTACCCTAAGAGAAACTGCTCCTGAAGGAAATATATTTAAAGATTGTTTTGAAAGTTTACAAGTACGTAATATATTACCTGTTGGAAAGAAACAACTGAAGTGAGTATATATATATATATATATTTTTATAAGTATAAAATATAAAAAATTATTCTTTTAGGATCAACAAGAAAAAGGTACAAGCGTTTATGGATCCGGCTTTTAAAGTTACTCCAGATATGTTAGCTCAGTTCAAACTTTAAGATATAATAATTATGATAACTTAACAAAACTATAAAAATAAAATATTGTTTTTATTTTGTTAAAAACTATGTTTTATAAATCATAGTTAAGTTATTTATAGTTGAATATAATATAAAGTTATTAAAATTTGTTATCTTTTTTCAATTTAATATCCTCATACAGTAAAATACAAAATTTATGATTTTATTTTTCAATTTGTTATATACAGTGGCTTAACATGTGGCTGCACCCCCCCTCCCTATTTCTTAAATGAAACAATGAGACAAATAAAGTTTCATAATATGAACTACTATACCAAAATTTACTATACCCCTCCACTATTATGAAATTCTGAATAAATTACTGATAAAGAGTAACTGTTTAACAATGACTAATGCAATATCTTGAAAAATATAAAACATAATATACTTTTTTCTTTATCTGAATTAATATTATGTTATATAACTTATATAAATACTTTAATACTATCCCCATTGATACTTCCTTAATATTGTGTCAAATTTTGTTTTTAGAATTGAAACATATGTTGTTAAATCAACTTACCTACTAAAAAATAATTTATCTAAGAAAATTAATTCAAAAGGTATCAACAAGTTGTTAATAACAACTTAAAATATTGGCTAGAAACAAGGCATAAGTCCATTTATTTTTATCTCTAAGCATTTATAAACCACATTACATGTCCAAGTTTGTTTTAAAAATTCTAATATCTTTTAAAATACAGGTTCAAAATTTGTTAATGACTAGTCATTTTTATTATTAAATAAATGTCTTATTTATAGGCTAGTTAAAGACTATCCATTTAAAAAACAATTTTAAATAATTTTAAGAGTGTAGTAGTGGGTATAGTACCGAATTTTTTTTGAAAATTATCAAACTTAAGATACTATTGATTTCTAATAAGATTAAATTATAATATGTTTAATAATTTTAAATATATTGCGTGAGTCATAATTAAATAATCGCCTGTATAGATACCTTTACCTTTGAGATCTCTATATGCAAAACTTAGTATACAAATTTTATTCATCTAATCTAAACAAAATTCAATAGACAAAATGATTAACTTTTAGTCATATCAATTTTTATTTTCATATCGATTTTACTTTTAGTATATGATCAAATAACATTGCTTGCAAGTATTTATCTGAATGTATTCTGACTAAGTCAACATTTACATTTGAATATGTTAAGTACGGATTGCCATTTATTATCAATCTATCTCCATTACATTGAAATATTAAACCTTGAGGTATTGTTATGGGCTATAAAAACATAAATTATTTAAAAAAAATTTTTTTAATTGGTTCATATAATTAAATTTTATCAATGCCTGCATAATTTATTATCAATATACATAGTTGAATGAGAAAATGTTTTATTAAATACAATTTAATATAAATTTTAAATCTGGATTTTAGTACTAGATTCTAATTACTTGTACATCACAAATGATGGAAAACTTTCTTTTTTGTGACTGTAATAATTAAAAAGTGGATTTTAGGGAGATAATTATTATTTTGTATGTTTGTTGTTTGAAAAATATTTTGGTTTTTAAATAATATATCCTGAAATTTTTTTAAAAATAATGTAATGTTTATACAGGGTGTTCAGTAAGTCAGGAAACGGGTTCCTGACTTACTAAACACCCTGTATAACAATTTTACGTATTTTGTTGTATTAGTTCTTTAATAAAAATAAAAAAATCTTTTATTGTATTGAATCCGAAAACATATTTAGAAGTTTACTACAAAATAATTAACTATTAGTTATAGATAGTCTATATTCATAGAGACGTATCGGAAAAAAATTGGTAAGCTACTAATAATTTTGACCTTAAATATTATTTTTAATAACATTCCTCATCTAAATTATCAGTCGGGCGCTCAATATACAAAAAATATGGCACAAAGCACCTACGCTTTTTTTCACAACAATACTAGTATTTTTCGTTCATTATTGTTTTAATCTTATTTTTAACTTTTTAGTTCGTTATGCTTTAAAAGGGTGTTTTTCAGCTTTTTTAACTATATTTATTTTCACTTTTTAGTTTTTATAACAACGCTGTCACAGTCACGGAGTGTTTATTGTAAATTATGACTATCAATTGATATAATTTCTGTATTGCCAGTTAGTGCGTTTAAAAACTCGCAACAATGTGTCCTATGACCATTGGTAATAAAGGCTATATACCTGCAAATATCGTCATAAAAAACCAATTAGCTACCTGTATTTGTATTCCCTTATACAGAGTATTCAGTAAGTCAGGAAACGGGTTTCTATTGTTCTCATTATTTGTAACAATGAGAACAATAGAAACCCGTTTCCTGACTTACTGAACATTCTGTATATAAACTCAAAAAAAATTGAATCTTTAACTGTTTATATCTAATAATAAGCAATACAAATTTGTTTGTACAGAATGTTCAGTAAGTAAGGAAACAGGTCAATTGTTACAAACAATGAGAACAATAGATACCCGTTTCCTGACTTACTGAACACTCTGTATAGTAATAGTGTTGCCGGTGTGTGGTGAGCGGGGTGGGGTGAATGCGTTACGGCAGTCTAGTCTCAAGCCCATAGACGACGGATACTCGAGGATAACACGTTGTGCGTGGTAAGTTACAAACATACGTACAGGTATGACAAAATAGATCTATTTTGTCATGCGTACAGGTAAAACTAATATAAGTGGGTTAAAAACGGAAATATTTTTCATAAAGTGCATTCACAGACCGTAAAATTTTTAGTTTTGTTTAAATAAGTTGTATTGTTTCTCCAATTATAATAGCTCAAATCCGTTTTTTTTGGTTGTAGAAGTTTTGTGCCCTTGTAATAAGGAATCCAATTTTCGGTTAATAATCGTTCACCATAATCAATGTAGCACGATATCTCAGTATTTTTTTTGCATTTTACTCGTATAAATATAATTGTCTAAAAATATTATTAACAATAAACATTTATAATTTTTAAAAATATGATTTTATTAAACCAGGTGCTTAGTCAATAGGAAGCTATTTCTAGTTTTCCTCTTTTAAAAAAAATAGCTCTCATATTAGAAGAATCGGTAAAATGGTTTCCACCAAAAATTTCTATATCTGCGCCTGATATAAGAAAACGTTTTTCCCTGCGAATTTCTGGATAAAATATGCTTAAATGATAAAATTTTAAGCAAAAAAGGTTTAAAAATCCAGTACAGTAAAGACACGGCATAGTTGGAACAAGTATAAATGCCTAAATTCATAATAATATCAATGATAAAAATAATGATAATACTGCAAACAAGGTAATTTTTGTTAAATAAGTTACCTTACCAAAAGGCAGTAAGTGTCAATAATTAAAAAGATGCGTTTGATACCAAAATATTCGTAATTTTATATTGAATTTGTTTGGTTTCATAGCAAAAATAGATTTTATGAAAATTTAATTATAAAATCTTTTTAACTGCGTTAACATCAATAAAATCTGAATCCCATTTCCCAAAATTGTTAAAATTTTATTATAGTTGTTAGGTTATAATGTACATACCGCTAAATCGCCTAATCGTATCCTTTTTTCGCGACTTGCTAAAGCTACAATTAAAGGGTCTTGGCTGATTGTTTTGTTTAACAATTCATTTAATGGTTTCCTTATATTCATTGGGGGATTAACCATTTTTCTTACTTCTTCTAATCTTTCATTAAAATCATTGAATGATAAAGTTACAGCTGAACGATAACCTGCCTCTGCGATATTGCGACATTGTTTTATGCTTTCTAAATATTTTAGATCAGAATTTTTCCTTAAAGAATCTAGGTATTCATTGTAATTGTTGAATTGCAATAGTCGACGGTCAGCTTCTCTTTGATGTTGTAAACTTGCTTTTTCAATCATTTTGAAGTAAATAGAAATATTTATGAGTAAATTTGCAGTAATTTTATTAAAGAACTAATATTAATATATAATAATATTTATTATTAGAATAATTAATATTTTTATAAGTAATTTTTTTAAGTTAAATTTATTCGTTTCTATGGAGTTATGATAAGTTTTGCTGTAGACAATTTTTATTTTTTACTGTTGTTTTAAACAAGATTAAAACAACTGAAATTAAACGTAATGGGATTAAAATAATATAAAAAAATAGAATGTATAATTTTTAATTTATCGTATTAACTTAATGGTTCATTAAAAAAATGCTAAGTGCATCAACTTCCAACACTCATTATAACGTAGATTAACTTTATATGTGATACAGTTTGACTAACTCTTCGAAAATAAATATAAAAGGCACATATTAATAGTATTTAACTTTAATTATGATATCGCAAAAAAATAAAACTTATTTGTGCTAATATATAGATAATATAGTGGAATAAACAAAAATATAGTTGGTCCAAATTTTAACTCTTAAGTAGTACAAAATATTGAAATATAGTTTTCCTTTTCTCTCATTTTATCTTTAAATTAATGTAATTTTTATGTTATTCAAAGGTGCTATTAAAATAAATAATGTAAGAAGCAAAAGAAGTTATTATGGTTCGGTACTTATATTTATATATAAATATCACTAAAATTTGACAAAAAAATTTCTCTATCCGCTCTTTTAGTTTAGAAATGATCAAGAGAACCAATTTTGAATTATTAAATGATTGCTCCTTCACGAATAAAAAATTCCGGTATCCCTAGATTCCACTGTATACGCAATATTTAATGTAATCTGCAGTGATAACTGTTAAATACTCAGGAAAAATAATAAAAATAAATAATTCTCCTAGTCGTTATAATTTATTTATCTTTAGTCTATGTATTTTATCATTAATAGAATCGTTACTTTTTTATAAAGATGAAAAATTCCTATTTCTGTAATTTTATTTTTTATATAATCGATTAATTGAATATGTTATGAACATTATCCATTATTGTTTTCAACCACATTCATGGTATTTGAAGAAGTCCTATACGTGTTATCAGTGTAATTATCAATATCAAACGATCAAAACTGAAAAAACCCTTCTATAAAACTAAAAAAATAGTTGAAAAGCCTGTAGTACTTACCGGTTAAACGATTATTTCTACTATTATTTAAGATTATTAATCAATTTATAGTATTATTTATTTAGATTGAAATATCATCTTCAATTATTATTGAAATAAAAAAGTTATTGTTGACGCCCCTAACAGTACACAATTTATATCATATAAACTGAAGAAGATATGTAAGTATAAATCAATTGTTTTCATGAATTATGTATATTTCAAATAATTCTTAAATATTTCATAGAAAAATATCTGTTAAAATGACCGATAGTAAGTATTTTACTACTACTAAGAAAGGTGAAATATTCGAATTGAAGTCTGAGCTTAATAGTGACAAAAAGGAAAAAAAGAGAGAAGCTGTTAAAAAGGTAATTTCTTACATTGTTATGCACTGAAAAATAGTTCTAAAATTCTATCTATATTAAGTTCTTTTGTTTAAGACATTACCTCTTTTTAGTATTTAAAATACATCTAATCTTGATCATAATTTTATATAAAATATGTAGATACTTTTTTAAATTATTGGTTCTAATTCGATTAATTTGGCTATTATTAGTATAATTAATTTCCGAAGCATATTTCCTACAATGAATAATAGACTGTGTGAGTGTATTTTTTTAAACATTTAAATTTATAATTCTTTAAATAGTTTAAGAATACTAATATATTTAAAGGGTTCTTATGAATAAATATTAATTGAACATATATATCTGTGCTGAGTAAAATCAGTATGATTTTATTATTATTAAAATCATAATTTTGTTTTCTTGCAATCTGTTAAATATTTAATTTTTTTATTTTATATTTATTTTTAAATTTACTATTATTAACTGAATGGAATAAAGCTATATATTAAAAATAATGAAGATTAAAACTTAACAATTTTAAAAATTGGTCTAAAAATTTTTTTTTTTATATCTATTTTATCTTTACTTTTTGATAAAATGAGTTATTTTAAAAAACTTTATGGAATTTTAAGATAATATTAGTGCTATTTTTATAAAAATAGGTCATTGCTTCAATGACAGTTGGAAAAGATGTTTCTGCATTATTTCCTGATGTTGTTAACTGTATGCAAACTGATAATTTGGAATTGAAAAAACTGGTTTACTTATATTTGATGAATTATGCTAAAAGTAATCCTGATATGGCAATTATGGCTGTTAATACTTTTGTAAAAGTAACTAAAATTAAAAATAAATAAATTTGTTCTTACGAAAAGAAAAATGATTTCTCGTAAACTTATGTTTTTAAGGATTGTGAAGATCCCAATCCATTAATACGTGCTTTAGCTGTGCGTACAATGGGATGCATCAGAGTTGATAAAATTACAGAATATCTTTGTGAACCATTACGCAAGTGTTTACGGGATGAAGACCCATATGTGAGGAAAACAGCTGCAGTCTGTGTTGCCAAGTTATATGACATTAATGCACAGTTAGTTGATGATCAAGGATTTTTGGAACAATTAAAAGAATTACTTTCTGATTCTAACCCAATGGTAATTTATTGACAAAACTAATTTTTTATTTATGTTATTAAGTCAAAATAAATCGTTAGGTTGTTGCAAATGCTGTAGCTGCATTATCTGAAATGAATGAAGCAAGTATAACTGGTTCACCACTAATTGAAATGAATTCACAAACTATAAATAAGCTTTTAACTGCTTTAAATGAATGTACAGAATGGGGTCAAGTATTCATACTGGATTCTTTAGCAAATTACAGCCCCAAAGATGATCGTGAGGCACAAAGGTTTGCATAAAAATTATGTATTTATAAGAAAAAAAAGATTTACTGTTGACTTAGACCATCATTTTTTTTATTATTTTTAATTTATCTTTTCTCTATATCAATTTATTATTCTGAGTTGTAATTTAGTAGTTAGCAAGTTAAGCTTGATCTAAGTATGGGTCATTATTAACTGTCTATTAAGATTATACTAGAATCATATTCAATTTCTAACATATAAATTTTTATTTTAGAGGTAAAAATGGCTAATTTTTTTACTAAGTATCATATTTAATTTAAAGTCTAGTGCATTGTTTGGTCAGGAATGTGTCGTGCTTCGGTGCATAAGTATCGGGGTTTGTTTCTATTACACAGAGTTGTACAGGTTTTATTGTCCTCTTAACACAAATAGTAGCTTGTTTTAAAAAGAAAATTACAAACAAATTTTAAATTATTGATTATTAGTTTGTCATAACATTAGGGATTGAGCAAAATATTCTACAGAATACTAATTCTCAAACACAACAAATAAAAATTATGATAAAATTTTTATTAAATACAATTATTATATTTTTTACTATTTTTATATGTAGTATTTGTGAAAGAATTACACCACGTTTAGCTCATGCTAATGCAGCAGTTGTATTGTCTGCCATTAAAGTACTGATGAAACTCATGGAAATGTTGCCAACAGATTCCGATTTTGTGACAACTTTGACGAAAAAACTGGCTCCACCGCTTGTGACATTACTTTCTACAGAACCAGAGGTAAAAAAATGTCATTAATGTTATGGTAATTACTTTTTATCACTAAAAAAATTGTTTAAATTTTAGGTCCAATATGTAGCCTTGAGAAATATTAATCTTATTGTACAAAAACGTCCTGATATATTAAAGCATGAGATGAAAGTATTTTTTGTGAAATATAATGATCCTATTTATGTTAAATTAGAAAAATTAGACATAATGATTCGCCTTGCTTCGCAAGCAAATATTGCCCAAGTCTTATCAGAACTTAAAGAGTAATTAATTATTTTAAAATTTTTGTTCTTTTTGTTATATATTGTTTATTTTACAGATATGCCACTGAAGTAGATGTTGATTTTGTACGTAAAGCTGTACGTGCTATTGGAAGATGTGCAATTAAAGTTGAACAATCTGCTGAGAGATGTGTTTCTACTCTTCTTGATTTAATTCAAACCAAAGTAAATTATGTTGTTCAAGAAGCCATTGTTGTTATAAAAGATATTTTCCGCAAGTATCCTAATAAGTATGAAAGTATAATATCATTATTGTGTGAAAATCTGGATACACTGGATGAACCTGAAGCAAGAGCATCTATGATTTGGATAATTGGTGAATATGCTGAACGAATTGACAATGCTGATGAGTTGTTAGAAAGTTTTCTGGAAGGCTTCCATGATGAAAATACTCAAGTGCAGTTGCAGTTATTGACTGCTATTGTAAAATTATTTTTAAAACGTCCCACAGACACACAAGAACTAGTTCAGCAGGTTTTAAGTTTAGCTACCCAGGACTCAGATAATCCAGATTTACGTGATAGAGGTTTTATCTACTGGAGATTATTGTCTACTGATCCAGGAGCCGCTAAAGATGTTGTTCTTGCAGAAAAACCTCTAATTTCTGAAGAAACTGATCTTCTAGAACCTACTTTATTAGATGAACTTGTATGTCATATATCTAGTTTAGCTAGTGTTTACCATAAACCTCCAAGTGCTTTTGTTGAAGGTAGACCTGGATTACGCAAATCTCTTCCTGCCAGGTAAAAGCTAATTTTTTTTGTTGCTTATAATAAAATAATCTTATTATTAAAATATGACAAACTTTTTTTCTAAATAGACTGTTATTTGTGTAAAATAGCACAAAAAAAAAAAACAGATTTTTAAGTGTAGAAATAAAACTTGTGACATGTTATAGAAATAAAATTAAATAAAATGTAATGAGACTAAGTTGAAAACAAATAACTGTATTTTATTGAATTTATAATGAAGCATTATTAATTTTTAATAAATATGTAAAAATATTAATAATATAATGATGTTCCCATACAGCATTAAAAAAAATATGTTGATTAAACATTCATGAAATGTTAGTTTAATATTATTAAACCTTTTTGATTGAAAAATGCTGTTTAGGTTGTAGTAACTTTTGTGGAAATACCATAAAAACATGATTATTATTCCCAGAATAATGTTACAGAAAATTGTATAGATATATGAGTATATTTTAAATATATTTGTGTATTTTTTATGGTACTGGTTCTGATAAATGGTAATTGGGGAATATACTATATCATCCAAATACTTATTATAATTTTCTTATTAAAAGATATTGTAATATAACTATGATATTTGTAAGAGAAAAGATTGAAGATAATAACACTCTTATTAGTTTTAAAAATAGTTTGTTTAAATGATTTTATTTTTTTATTTTACTATTTGTATTTATTTCAAGTTCTATATTCCTATGAATTAGGAATTATAAAAATTTAAATAATTTCAAAAGTATTCTAAGATGTATGATGTTTATTTTAATTGAAAAGTAATTTAAAAAAAATCAATTGTAATTTGAGAGAAACTAATAGTAAATATAAAAATTAGAAACTTGGACTTCTTTATTTTAAAATAACTTATTTTATTTTTTCTAGAACTGATAATATTACTTCAAGTAATATTCCTCAAGCTGCAGTTATACCAGCCCCTCAAGAATCATTAATAGGAGATCTTCTTAGTATGGATTTGACAACACCATCAGTAATTCCAGCATCAACTCAACCATCTGTTGATCTTCTTGCTTCTGGACTAGATTCTCTGTTAACTACTACAGATGTTCCTGCAACCTCTACATCAAACACAGGTTTACTTGGGGATATTTTTGGATTTACTCCTACTCCAGTTTCCTACTCTCCTCCTAAGCAACTTTGGCTACCAAGTGAAAATGGGAAGGGTTTAGAGATCATGGGAACATTTTCCAGAAAGTATAGTTCATATTTTAATTTTTTTAATGTTGACTACATAAATATATTTTTTATAGAAATGGTCAAATTAATATGGATATGACACTTAAAAACAAAGCAATGCAACCAATGTCTGGGTTTGCTATTCAATTGAACAAAAACTCGTGAGTATCTTTTATAAATTTAAATACTTTATTTTTCAACTTTAGATAAACCATATAAAAATATATTAATTTTTCGACAGTTTTGGCTTGACCCCTGCTCGTCCACTACAAGTAGTGAATCCTCTAATGCCAACTGCATCTTATGAAGCTTGTTTACCTCTTGCAACAACTGGAATGGTTCAAAGAATGGAGCCAATTACTAACCTTCAAGTAATAATTTAATTGTAAATTTTTTTATAATATCTCATCAATTTTAACAAATTATAGGTTGCAATAAAGAACAATATTGATGTAATGTATTATGCATGTATTGTTCCTATGAGTATATTTTTTGTCGAAGATGGTCAAATGGACAAAAGAGTATTTTTAACTACGTGGAAAGATATTCCTGCTGAGAATGAAGTTCAATTTACTTTAAAAAATGTACTTTGCAATACAGGTAAAGATAAACGAGTTCTATGAAAATTAACTCATCTAAACTTGCAGTAAATATATATTACTATTTATGAATTTATTTATTTTATAGAGGCTATTGTGATGAAAATGTCTCAAAACAATGTTTTTACAATTGCTAAAAGAAATGTTGAAGGACAAGATATGTTGTATCAATCATTGAAATTAACAAATGGTCATTGGGTATTAAATGAATTGAAAATTCAGCCAGGAAATCCAAATATTACGGTAAAATGAATTGATTTATAAAGTTACTTTTATTTTTTTACATAATTGTTTATTAATTTCAATACTCTTCAATAATATAGTCAGAAAATTTTTTTTGTTCATATAAATAGGTTTTATGCTATTTTAGAAATTAAGTTTGAATTATTAAAGCAATTATTTTAATATTAACAACTTGTTTAAGAATTTACAAAATATTAAGACATGAAAATTTAAGTGTTAAAAATTATTTTATGACTAGAGTATACTATATAACAATATTAAAAGTAGATGAATTTTTTTAAACCCATTTTAAATTTTCAACAGTATACTTCTAATTTAATAAAATTATGTTTTTATATTTAGTTATCATTAAAATCTCAAACATTAGAGGTGGCACAAGGTGTATTTCAAGCATATGATGCTATTCTTCATTCATAGAACTCTAAATCCTTTACACAATGGAAGCTTACAAAAATAAATGAACTTTAAAATAGAATAAACATACAAAATAAGTGAAAATTGTATTAATATTATTGATATTTATGATAATTAAATATTACCGGTTAAATAATAATCTTTAATTCATTTATAGGTAATATAAATTTACTAATTTAGTTTTCATTGATATAAATATAGTATTTACTATTTGTAATACTTAATTTTTTTTGTTAAAATTTATACTTAAAAATGTATTATTATTATTATTACATATTAAATATTATTATACGTGTATAATATAAACGTGGATATAGATTACGTAATCCTTACTATTTTTATTGGGTTATATTATTTATTTATATTTATAATTAATAAAATATTTAATTTGTGGTTTTATGTATTATGTCACATTATTAATAAATTTTAGACATTAAAATAATAAACCCCAAAAAATGTTAGTCATTTATCATTTTAATCAAAATTTGAAATAATTAAAATTGATTTAGTTAAACTAAACAATGGAAATATTGTTTTTAAAATTTAAAGTTGATTGATGTATTCTTGTTTCATTTTCATTCTTTCTTCTTTAGAAGGTAAATACGGTTTAGTATTATTCCTTTTTCTTTCTTTATAAATATTATACTGGAAATAAAATAATTTATTTAAGTTATCACTTATCTTGTAAAATATTACAAAATCTATAATTTAGTTTATATTATATTAAAAATTTTAAATTAATGTAATTTTACCCAAAATGTTTTGCAATCTTTGTAGTTCTCAATTTGAGGTTCACATTTTTTATGGTCACCATAATTGTTTTGTAGGCATTTTAGTGATATCCGTTGTTCCTATGGAAGCATAGTAAAAACAACATTTGTATAAGCAACAGTTAATTACAATTGTAACTTGAAGAGTTATAATAAAGAAACAAATATAATAATGCAATGTTTAGGGAAATTTGAGTGCATTACAGTGTGCCAGGCCAAATACTAATTATGCAAGAGTATCATTACATGAAATAAGTTACCCTTGTTTTTTGAATCCCATTTACAATAGAATTAAAAATTTTTAAGTATAGTATAGTTTTTAAGCTCTAGTATCTTAGAATGCTGAAAAAAGGCCCTTTATGTTATTGGCTCAACACTTGAATATTACATAAGTGTTGGAAAGGAATAAAAAAATTTTTTTCCCAAATTTATTGGATATTGCGCCTAAGTCTGCAATGGCTAATGCCTCATCTAGACAAGTGAAATAATTAATATCAGATTCAATAGAAGGGCTGTGTTGCTCATGAAAGTATGTGTGAAGTAAGTCTACTATAAATTAAAGAAAAAAAATAGACTTGACCACAATGTAGATGTTATTACTTTGATAGACATACTCTTTTTTTTATAAAAAGGGGGATTCTAAAAGTAGGCCCTTTTACACAGCTAGGTTTGTTGAGATATTTATCCCTTTACACAAAAAAAAACTCCTACCAATAAAACTGAATAGTTTTTTATTTTCTTAATCAATTGTATGATGAAAAAATTTTACTCAAGATTTATCATGAAGAGATTTTTTTAAATACAAAAAATTATTTTAATCTTTAAAATAATAAATATTTTCGAAATTATTTAAAACTTCTTTACCTACAATTGTATCAAGAAAGCTTACTTCTAAACAAGGATTCGAATCTGAGTTCATGGGTTCTCCAGACATCTAAAAAATGTTTTAATTGATTTCAACTCTTATGAATCTTCTAAATTTTTATACATTTTCTTATGTACTGTATGATAAAATTATAAAAATTAAATAAATATATTAGTATATAGAGGTTTTAGATTATATGTGATAACACTTCTTGTGATTACAAATCTGATATCAATAAGCTTACACTTATTAGAATCTTACTACGAAAATACTTATTAAAGAAGTAGAGTGTTAAAGATACTGACAAATAATTAAAAATTATGTACGGGTGTTCTTAATTTCTTTTTATTGTAATTTTTTTTTAAACATTGGTTAATATATATAAACATTTAAACGTTACACGATATCTAACTACCAATAATATATGATGATATTTGTTTAATAAAAAAAAAATTAATCCATATAATAATACTTATAAAATAATCATATATTTATATGTTTGTATAAAATATCTTAATATAAATAATATTATCACAATGGAAGCAATGGATGTATCTATGTGCGATGAAGACTTTATGATGACCAAAGCCAAGAGTTTTTTGGAAACTGACAGTTACAGATGTCGGTCTTGGCTCCTTACTGCTAAATCCATGTTTCCTACAAATTTTAGCATTCATGTAAGTAAATAAAATCACAAAATTTTTAGAGTTAGTAACCACTAGTATTAAAAAAATGATTAATTAAGTAATTTTAATTTGAGCTTGAAGTTTTGCACTTTTTAATAGATTTTGTTATACTTTTTTAGTATGAATGTTATGTGATTGAAAAAAATCTACACTGTGTTCAAAGAGCAGCCAGGTGTTTTAGTTCATTGTAAGCTAATTTCTTTTCAAAATATGTACAGAGGAATATTTAAAATTTTAGTACCCTGAGATGATACATAGATTAAAATTATTTTTATGCCTCAAAAAATTTCAGATAACCAGATTTTAGTTAATAAAAAGAACTTATTTTACTAAAAAAAAAAATGTTTGATTACACTTAAGATATGTTTCTTTAAATTTGGTACCTTTGGTTATTGTCCCCTATACTCCCATTGGGTTTGAAATATTTTTTTACAATATAAATTTTTATATATAGACTTGAAGATTTTCCAAATGAGCATTTATTATGGAAAGAAATTGAAAATTTTACACCAGTGTTATGTATGGATACTGCATGTTTATCAGAAGAACAAACATTTTTTCGTGAAATGTTTTCTGCATTACCTTTATGTTAGTTAATTTTCTGTTTTCTAATATTAGGTTTTATTTGATATTTATTATGTGCTTATAGCTATTCAACAGAAATTACTGTCAGTTTGTGCAGAACGAAGTGAAGATACTATGGAACATTGCCGTTTAGTTCTTCTACTTTTAAATCGTTTTCCTCAGTCTTCTACTGAATTAGCAGTAAAATTTTATATTTATTATTCAATTTTTTTTTTAATTATACAGACTTCAATAATTTTTAGTAATCATTTTAGCTTCAATTAATGGACACAATGATCACAGCTGAAAAACATAATCAATGTCCGAGTGTCATTAATTGTTATAGAAAGATCTTAGGTAATGAAATATTAAAAAATACCTTATTTAAAGTAATATGTTTATAAAATAAAAGGTAAGTTATGAAGATATCTTATTCAAATATTTTATAAAAACCTTATTTTGATTAAATAATCATTTTGCTGCAGTTTTTCAATCAATTTATGCATTTTTAGACTGATTCAAAAGTATATTTTTTATTATTTGTCTTTAAAATTTTTTTTCATAATTTGAAAGTAGCTCTTTAGTTCTTTTATTATAAAAATTTTTGATGAGTTGATAATAATTTAAGGATAAACACTTATTGAATTATAAGCATTTAAATATATAGAGGGGGGTATGTAATGCAGGTGAATACAGCTTGTTTAATTTTAATAAATTGGTGGATTATTCCAAATGAAAAATTAACTCCTATTTCCTTCATTATTCCTGATTAGTAGTTTTTTGATTAAAAGTATAATATATGAATTAATATTTATTATAAAATTAAATTAGTATGAAATTGATATTTAATAATTTAGTATTGTAATTTTTTCGGAAAATGTATAAAAAATTATATAGTAATTATTATTTTTATAGTAAACATGTAAAAAATGTTTTTTGTTGGATTTTGTTTTCCATCTCAAAAAAAAAAAAATTAAGAAAAAAATGCAAAAAAAGTTATTTTGGCTAGCGGTGTAAGGACTTAGTATCCCGAACTTATAAGACTGTATAGTTAATAATGCAACCACTATGATCGTGATGAATAGTTTTTATAAAAAGAATTATTTAAGCTAGTTAAAAAATTCATAGTTTCTTTTCTTAACTTTAAGGAGGTAAAATAATCAAAACAAGTTTAAATTTATATTTAATCTAAGTTAGATACATGTAAATTTTTTAAAAATTGATGAACTCATTACTATGACAAACCCTTGTATAAGTATTTTAAAATAAATAAAAAAAAGTTGAACACAAAAATAGCATGTGTTTAAATTACGGCAGTCATTAACAATTTTTTTCTTTTTAATTTATAGTACATAACATAAGCTTTAATTTGACATATGTTTTAAGAACACAATATTTCATGAACATTTTCAATAGTTCAGTTGACTTTTGTAAAAAAGTTTTTATTTTGAATCCCCCCTGTGTGTAGATAAAGGGTTGGATTATTAAAAAATTTATATCAAATGAAAGGGAAATATCTAAGGTTTCAATATAAAAAAGAATTATTTCGATTCATTCATTATTCAATTAGTTATGGCAATTTTTAGAAAAAAAAAGATAAATTTTATATTAGAGACTAATGATAAAAATGTATTAATTTAGTTTCAAAATGCAAAAATTGTTAAACAAAAATTTCATTTTGATTATTGATCACAAGTGATTGGATTTCTCATATCTTTGTGACTCTTGCATAGTTGGATTTTTTTAGTGCATCTCTTAAATAGCTATTTAAATATTTTAATGGTACTGTTTTGGACTTAAATATTTATAATTTATAATATTTTGATTAAAAACAATATTTATTATTTATTTATTTATTTTATTTTAGCATATGGGACAAGCCCATGAAAATCTTGAAATTACATTATTTATAAATTGTTTTCATTATCAATAGTATTAAATGAGAAAGAATGTTTATAATATAAAGTCAAACTAATTATATAATTACAATTTAAAATATAAAACTAATTAATAAGGCTAAGAATTGTAATTTGATCTATGGCTTAACATATGTGGATTTGACATTTGTGATTTGCATTAATCGAATTGTAGGAAAACATTGGTGGTAATTAGTTGGGGAGTATAGGATTTAGATGGAAAATGAGTATGTTAGGTGGCAAAAAAAAAACAGAAAATATAGAATCTTTAAAGTTTTGCAACATATTTCCTCAATGATCTTTAGAGGACATTAAGTGTAGGTAAAGATTAAGAGAGATTACTATGGATAGAATAAAAAAGAAAAAAAGGAGCCCTTTGGCGTAAAAAAATGTTGAGGATCATTTTTGGATATTATAGGTAAAACCAAGAGACTCGTCCACACTAATGAACGATTAAATGATGAAAGTCAGCTTGGAGAAATCAATATGAGCCAATATAACAATGAATCAATACAAAAATATAGTTTTATATTATTAGCAAAGATGAACAGCTTAGAGTGTTGAAGAATAAAAGTAGAAAAAATAACAAACATGGCAAAAAAGACAGGAGATTAAACGTTCTGTTCTCTCTCTTCTTCCCAAAGACGCTCTTTGGTTTCAGAAAGGACACCCTGAGCTGAAATAAATTGAGATTGGTCAAATAGTTAAAAACAACCAGGTATAAGAGATTCATCAATACACCAAGGTGATCTAAAGAGCTTATTAATTAGATATAGATCACATTTACTTAGCTATGAAAGTGGAATAAATAAAAATATAAGAACTTATAACAAGATAACAAGTTAAAATAGAGTGGTTTGTTTTGATCTAAGTTTTACTGTTAAGGTATGAGTATGATTTAGGGAAGGACAAATTGTATTTTGGATAACGGTCTTAAATAACTTTGAAATATTATGGAGAATAGTATTAAGCAGTAGTGTTTTGGAAAGTATATGCTCTCAACCTAATTTTTTAATTAACATATACCCTAAAAATGTAATAATTATGTACTTTTGTACTATATACAAAAGTAATTAATATATTAAAGGGTATACATTTGCAAAGCAGACATATATCCTAAAAAAAACTGGTAATAGGACAATAATTTGAAACATGTGAAGGATAGTCACACTTGAGAATAAGAGGAATAGGCCTAATATTCAAAATAGAGGTAAAATTTCTAGCAATAGGGATTTATTGAAAAGAATGTCATATGCTTATATAATATAGAAAAAAAGTGAGAGGAACAGATAAATGTATTAAAAGAAAATTGCAATCAGATACTAGACATGTAATATTATGGAGGGTGATAAGTGTGTAGTGTACCTCTATAGTAGACACTTGAACATAGTAAGAAAGAATAAACGGGGATTATAAAGGAAAGATTGGAGTAAGAATAGGAGAGACATAAACAGGAGGACAATATTCAGAAAAAACATTTAAAAGGAGCATGGATTAATCTTATGGCGTCATTAAGAGTAAGCAATAAGCTCACAATAACACTTTTTGAAAGAAGTTTATATTTTATATAATTAAATATTATATTAATGTAGTTGTGATATTATCATTATTATGATTAGGATTTCACCTAGATGAGATAGTAATTTAGTAGTTATGTTATGCTTTCCTAAAATTCCCCAATAAGTAAAATACAAAATATCCTAGGACATCAAGCATAGGTGTTAACATAGTTGTAAAAAATACTTTTAAAAAGTATTTTAAATAATATTCAAATATTTAAAAAAAAATGTATTTAAAATACTATTTGAATACTTTTCATACAAAAGTATTTGAGTAATACTCAATTACTTTACAAAAGTATTTCAAATACTAAGAATACAATTAAAAAATAATAATAATGTTTTTATTTTAACTAAGAGCAAAAGGTTCCACCTAAATAATTACCAAGAGGGTAATTTGAGTCAAATATTGAGTACTCTTAAATTAAGAGAACTCATTTATTATTTTCGATATTTTTTGTTAGAGGTAAATAAAATTAATTATTGGAGACTAATCAGTGAAAAAAATAAATATTAGTACACGTGTAAAAACCTGTAAAGTATGTCTTATTGACAATAGAGTAAATCATTTGAACCTGCAATAGGCTATTGTAGGTTCAACTGATGTATTAAAAATAGATGTATACATAATAGCATTTAGATAAGCACAATAATTATGTTATACTATAATGTAACATATAAAATAACAGAGAATTATTCTCAATTTTCATTTTGACTGAGTTTAATTTGCTTGCTGTGTTACGGTTAGCAAATTTAAAAAAAAAAAGTATATTAATAGTACTGAATATTAAACAGTATTAAATACTAAATAATTGTATTTAAAATACTACTCAGATACTTTTTATTAAATGTATTTAAAAATACTATTCAATACCAATGAAAGTATTTGAATACTTTTATTCAAATACATTTACTCAAATGCTTTACGCCTTTGGGTGTTAATATAATAAAGATTAAAGTCAGACAGTCATCAATCAGTCTGTTATTGTCAAAGATATGATTCTCATCATAATCACATTATATTTCACAGCATTTTTAAATCACATTGTTATTGAATAAATTAGTTATTGCATAATATGTAAACTATTTTAACATTGAAAGGTTTATTTATTTAATTAATAATTATATAAATAAAATTTTTGTTGTTACTTGAATTGCTACTGGATAATTATTGTATTTAAAATCTAAAAATAATATTAGTTTTATTTTATATTTTTTCAGTTTGCGATCTTGGTCCACTACTAGTATCAACTAATGCATTAAATCAAAAAAATTTGTATAAAATTTTAACTAAAACTACTGAATTTTATATTACTTATGCTATGGGAGGGCATACTCTAATTCCGGTAATTTTTAGGTTTTATAAATATCTAATATTACTTTATTATTTATATACATAATTTTACTAATTCTTTTGTTGTTAAATTTAATTGTTTTATGTACTTAAATATTCATTAATAATATTTGAAAGGCTACAAAACTTCATGAACAGTCCATTAAGTTTTGAAAAATCTGGGCTGTTTTAAAAATAAAATAAAAAATCCTGTTTATTGCTAAAATGTGGGCTACTTACCTAAGTGAGGTATTTTTGATGTTTATCTAAAAAAAATAATTTTAGCACTTTCCTCGGATTTTACATTCAGGCTATAACTATCCTACCATATGATTGATAAAACAATTTTAAAATTAAAATTAATTTTTTTTAAACTTATGGGTGTCAATAGAATCTACCAGACACAGAAAATTGTATTAAAACTCCTTGGGAAGATTTGTTTACAGCTTGTGAACGTATTGGAAAAAAACTTTCTTGGGAACTTAGATCTGTTCTTAGTCAAAGGTATTTTGGAGTTTATTTAATGATTAAAAATTAATCTTTTAGTTTTAATTACTATTTTATTATTGATATTTATTTATAAATAAGTTGAAACAGATCTAACTGAAGACATAACTTTTGATACAATTAATATTTTATTATTAATTTTTTTAAAGTAGATTTATGCATTCTTAGACTATGTTAAAAATAATAATTTTTATTAAAATAAAAAAATATATTATTTTCATTTTAAATTTTTTCAACATTTTAGCTTTTTCTAAATATTAAATTTTGTTGAATCAATAGCTATTTTTACACAAATACTTATTAAGTTACAAAAAAAAAAAAAAAAAAACATTGAAGGGGTATATAACATAGGTGGTGTATTTATTAAAAATTTACAGTATGAGATGTATCCACCCGCACTACATACCCATGTATTGAAACTTGTAACTTAATGATTAATCATCCTAAAATTGTTATCAAATCTCTACCTCCCTTTGGCGGCCTTATTTCTTCTAATATATTTATTGGATAGACATTAACAACTGTAAAGTTCTCCCTAACCACTAAATCTTATTTATTTTTGTAAAATGGAGAGAGAAATACTTACTACCCTTTCCTATATAACTATACTGTTTTACCAGAGATATAAAATTCAATGATAAGTAATTAAAAAAAAGAATTGAAGTTAAAAATTATAACAGTACAAAAAAGAGTGATTTTTTACACAAAAATAACATTAATTGTTTAACTTCGGTTGTTATTTACACATGAAAACAAATAATATGGATTTTTTTTTATTTTAACTTATGGTATGTAATATAAGCAATAATTTAACACATGTTTTGGGCTTTGTTTGAATATTTTTAAAAGTTATGTTGAAAAGGTTGACTTTTCATACAAATGTTATTAGTTTGAATTTAATTAGTTATGAACCTGATCATAGGGGTAATTCAAAATAACATAGTCTAAGAATGTATAAATTATTTAAAAAATAATATAATGTAATAATTATTGTATCAAAAGTTAATCAGTTATCAGTTAAATCTGTTCCACTCTATATAATATCCTTCCTGAAATGTTATGTTTGTGGTAAAAAGAGTGAGAAACTTACATAGACTCGCATATCTTGTGAAACAAACATTTGTACCTATGTACCTAGGTACAATGTGCTCCTGATTGAACTATGTAAACAGGCTTATAATATAACACTTGTTTATTAGTGACAGAAGAAAAGCGTGGAAAAAAGTGTCCAGTTTTGCAAAAAAATTTGTTATTGCTTCAAATAATAGTGAATTAAGTAAACAGTTAGTATTTTGTGGTATGATTCTCTTTGTAAAGCATGTCTTTGACTATAACAGATCTCTTAAATCAGGTAAAATAGCAAAATTTACAAATTAAAAAATTATTATAGTTTTGATTAAATATATTACACAAAATACTTGTTAATAAATTTTTATTTATATAGAAAATGAAATTGAGTATTTGTTAGTGAAGGCTGTAAAAGATCCAAAAGGACATATTATTAAACCTCCTTTAAAACAAACTGTTTTATCTGTAGCTACAAAATTGAATGAATCACTTATTGGTATCACAAGTGAATCTTCAGAAGTTTTGGATAACTTCAAAATGGCATTTAATTATTGGGAATTACTAACAAATAAAGAGCCAATGTGCACTGGTATTTAATTCTAATATTTTGTTTTTCTTAACTACATTTTCTAATCTATACTATACTTATAGATTATTGGAAACTCAGTGCTCAAATTAAAGTAGATACATATATAGGCCAATTTTTAAGTGATATCGAATTTTACCAAGGAAAGTATAAAAACCTTTTAAAATCTTTACCAGCTGAAAAAAGTATTAGAAAGTCATTGTCTTTAGTAAGCTTATATTACTGTGTTCAAGAATTTAAGGTTAGTAAGTTTATATTTTAATTTATGTGACAAGTATTAAAAATTTGCTATGAATATTTTAGAAATGCACTGAAAATATATTTGAAGTAGTTGAAGAATTAGAAGAATTAAATTTACATGGCATTGTTTCTTCTGAAGTAACAAATCCACCTCCAGAGAGAGAAATGTATTATATACAAATAGCAAAATTACCAATACTACAATATTGTACAAAAATATTGATCCAAATACTTTTTGTAAGTAATTATTTTCTTTTGGGTATAAAAATTAAAACAGTATATATAATTATTACAATTTTTATTTTATTTATATTTTAAGCATCATTTGATAAATTTACCAACTGCTTGTGATCTCATCGGTCACCTTTTAGTATTATGCCAAATGGTTTGGCCCGCAGGTGAGGAAATTGCTATTGAGATGTATCGTCACATATCAGAACTTACAGTTTTTACATATCCTCAATTCTCCATTTATATTACTAACATTGATATAATAGAACAATTCATGGCTATGTTTATAGAGAATGACAAATGTGTTTTGAATATTTTCCCTTGTGTTGCTTCTTCTTTAAGGTTGGTAAAATATTTTACTTAATCATGTGTTATTTTTCATTTAATAAAATAAATATATAATAAAATTATTAATTTAATAGTCCAAGAATATCAACAAGAGGGTCTGGTAAAGGAGTTAAAGAAGAATTTAGGTTAGCAATAAAAAAGCAAGTTTTAAAATGTTCTGAACCCATAGAAGAAACTATAATGCTATTTTTAAAAATGGAAAAAGAAAGTTTAATGAAAACTGCTTCATTGATAGAGAGATCTCTTGTTTATTAAATAATAAATTTTCTAGTAAAACATTTTTATTAGATAAAATTTATGCAGTATCTATGTCTAATTGAAATAAGCCCTTGGATGAGATTTTAATTAGAATGTATATAATATTTGAATAAGTAGTAAGATCTGTTATATTTGTTGACTCACAATATCTATTAAAAAATATGCCAAAATAATTAATTTAATGATAATTATAAAGTATAAGATATTTTCTTACTCTCCAAGAAGAGTTGGAGATGAAATGCTCTGAACATCAAACATTTTTACTGAATATGTACAAAAATTTGAAGAATCCAAATTTGGAATTGATATTGTAGCATTCATATGCATTTGTGACTTAGCTGGACTTTCTATTAAAAATGTACATTCTCCTATTTAGAAAATAAATTCTCACTTTTATACATAACATTATTTTTTATTTATTAGGAAATTACTTACTATAGTAGTTTTCTGTGATTAATGCATCATAATCAAAATTGTACTTGCCAATTCCTATTTTAAATGAAGATTGACAAGGTGTTAATTGAATATAGTTTACTGTTGATTCATAATTTAATTGTAAAGTATTGCAATAAAATACACAAAATGTTATAATTATATTTATAGAAATAAACATTTTGTTGATCTAATGATTATTAGTAACAAAATTTAAAACTCATTACTTGATATAGTTACAATACAAAAAGTAGACAACTTTCTCTAGCCCCTATATTTTTAATTTATCCAAGTTATCTTCATTGTATAAAATAAAATGTAGGTATGATGACCCAAATAAAGTTATTAATGTACTTTTTACTATCACTAATTTTTACAAAACCTACTTATCAAAAAGTATTTTTTTGTAATATATTATTTTACTATTTAAAATTCAATACTTAATTTATTTTTATAGTTACTACAATAATATAAAATATAGTTTCATTTTATATAAATTATTCATTTGATTTCTACAGTTAATCCTCATTATAAATCTATGTTTAATGTTTAGAATATTTGATATATTATTATTGATATATAAATAAATAGAAAAAGAAACAAATTTATTTAATACATAATTCTGAATTATCTTAATCTAATGATATAACACAAGTAGGCATAATAAAGATAAAAAATAGGTTTTTTTTATAAAAGGATTTATTAAAACAAATTTCAATCACATTTAATATATTTTAATTTATAAGTTATTTAATTATGTTGAAATTTGTATATAATCTATAAACTTATTTCTAGTAAGGAAAAACACTAAAAGAAAATTCTATACTTTGATCTGCTTTTATGAGAAGTAATGCTATGCTTGAGTTAGTTATTTTCATTAAAGGAGAAAAATCATTCAAAAAATTGCAATCACTAAAAAAAAAACAGTTAAAATGCCAATAAGTTTTACATAACTTTTTAAAAAAATTATCTTAAGTATAAATATTCTAATTTTTATTAGATTTTTTGTTGCAAAATATTAAATTAATTACTTTTTAGCTTCGATGCGAAGCTGAGAAGGATTAATTTTACTATGATTTGAATTTTTTTGTCTGTCACCACTTTTTCTCAGCTCTCACTGAACCGATTTCTTTCAACCATACGTCAAAATATGACAAATCGTATGTAATTGAAAACATTACCCTTAAAAATTGAAAAAAATTCCCTCGTTCCCTGTAATTTGAGAAAATCCCCCAAAAATTACAATTATTAAAATCGGTTAATTTTGACATTTTTTTCTCTTAAAACTGCCATAACTTTATGAAAAATGAATGTACCATAATAAATTTTTTTTAATAAGAAATGATACATTACCTACCCAGAGGGAGGAGACAAAAGAGCAACTTTTTTACAAATTCAACTTAGTCAACTTTAGAAAATGTTTCGGTAATTCTGCGACTTTTAAGTATATGTAAAATTAAAGCTTATGTTATGTACTATAGATTCAAAAGAAAAAAAATGTGCCTATGACTTATCTTCCATGTGCAAATGGCTACCGTAATTAAAACATGCTATTTTTGTGTTAAAATTTTCGATTTTATATTTTCAATTTTAAATTGCTATAACTTTTTGAAAAATGTATAGATCAACACAAATTTTTTGTTTCTAAATACTTTATATATACCTCTTTCATCCGACATACTTTTTTTAAATCTATCAATTTACCTTAATACAGGGGGTGTTTTAAACTTGAAAATACGTATAAAAAGTAGAACTTTTTCAACTTAACTTTTGAAAATATTCTGGTAATGTAGCATCTTTTAAATATATATTAAATTAAAACTTGTTGCGTCTATAAAAAAAAAAAAATTGTCCCCACGACCTATCTTCTATGTGCAATTATTGGCAGTCAAAGTTAAACAAAAAAATAGGATTAATTTTGCTTTTGGAATAATCCGTCAATTTCTTAAAATTGAACACCATTTACAGAATTGCATCGAAGCGCTTCTTATGATACTGTCAAATATCATTTATACTTGTCCCGACCCCACTATGCTATCGTTTTTTAAATTTAATAAATGCAGTTTTGTACATTTTTAATGTAACTGAATAACTTACTTTTGTATTAGAGTAACATTTCCATGATTAATTGTATAAAGTCTTATATTTTGATTAAATAGGTAATTTTCTGTGTCTGCTAACCCATGTTCTAAAGCTATAGCTATGTTATAATTTTCCATACTATTCAATAATATTGCACAAACGCCAGCTGGGATTGTTCTGTTATAAAATGGAATTTTTACGTGAAAATGTTGGCCTTTGAAAATATTTAATGAAACTGTGCATGATCCACGAAACATTGTTAATATTTTATAATTATTATTAATAGATGACTGATAATAATTTGGAATCCACTGGATATCATCAGCTAAAACAAATTTAGCAGAAACTAAAAAAGTATACAGTATAGTGGCCCTCATCATTGCTCAACTTTAAAATGAATACTAACTACTATCATTTTATACACTATTTTATATTAACTCATATTTTAACTGGAAGGAGGTAGAACATGAGTTTGACAATTATGTTTAACAAAATGTATTATAAAACAAAAGCTTTATAATATTATAAATAAATTGACACAGAATAACCAAAAAGTAATACTTTCAAAGGTTTTTTTATTTTATAATTCAATAAATATGCCTCATAATCAATTCAAAATATATTATTAATAGTGTTTACCATTTTTTTCAGTAATAAATAAATCAACATTTAATAATAAGAAAAATTTTTCAATATTAATTAGTATATAATCATATTTTGGTAAATAAGAAGTAAAGTTTCTAGTAAATATTTATTTAATATTTTATAATGTAAACTGTAAAATATAATGTAAATACAGAAATAACAATAACCATACTAAATTTATATAAAACTAAAATCCATTATTAGCTCAAAAATAAGTGAAATTATATCATATTCTTGATAATTTATTTTTTGTTTACAAATTTTGCTAATGAATCAGCATACATATCTAATCTTTGAGTCATCTGTAAAATAAAAATGTTTGTTAAAAATATAATTCTTTAAAAGTATGTTTATTGAATATGTATAAATGCATTATTTTTATAAAAGGAGCACAGGTTAATTTTTCACTTATATTTTAGTTTAAAAGAAATTTTCTAAATTTCATCTAAAATAATTAGATCAATAATTTTTATAATTACTTGGAAACCCCAATGATCTTTCACTTGTCTGCAAAGATTCAAGTCCATTTCTGCAATAAGGAGACCATCATGAATTCGAGAAAGACCCTGTGAAAAAAATTTGATCCAAAATAGCATAAATATGATGCAAGTTATAATTTAATTAATTTTATAAATTAATTAATATATTAATATTTCCATTGATATATAAAATAAAATTTGTAATTTTATTAATATATAAGTTTTTAGGTAAAAAGATCTTAATTACATTAAACTACATATTTATTATATAATTTTTATAGCTTATGGTAAATCTAAGACTCAACTAAACAAAATTAAAAATAAACAAAGGAAATAATTTTTTTAGGGTAAAATACAAAAATTACATGATAATTTGAAGTATTATAAAAGCATTTTATCAATTTCAGATTTTTACTTTTTCATTATTAAATAAAGTAAATAGTTATTTACTGATATATTATAAAATTTATGTATTGAAATTTTAAATATTTCTTACAGGTGTCCTAGAACCATCTGGAGCAGTTATATAACTGGAACCATAAAAATGACCAAAATCTTTATGAGCTGGTTTTCCATCACCACTTGTAAATTCGGATAGGAAATATTCAGTTCCTACTCTATTTATAGCACAAGTAAAATAACTATTTGCTACGGCTGCTGTTCTTGCTTCAACGCCCCATAGGGTTTCACTTAGAATAAAAAATACAAAATTGTTTGAGTAAATTCAATAAATATATATCAGATTAGTTTTGTATGGAATCATTTATTAATACACCTTGTCATGGGAATAAAACACTCTTCTTTTAATCTAGCCCTGCAATCTAGTATGAATAAAAAACATAATTACATTTATAAATCTTGAATGAAGCAACATTTATAATAAATGTCAAAATATAATATTATGCCCTTTAAAAAAATTATTTAAAAATTAATATTACTGGATATTTTTAGGTCTTCACGTAATAAAATAAAATTACAGTATTTTCTAAGATAAGATTGAATTGTTCAATAATTATATTTGTTAATTTCTCAAGTCATTAATCAGAATAATGAAAAATTATTTATTTAAAATATTTACAGACAAATTCATGTTCTCAGTGATGTGCTGACATGTATTTATTATTTGAAGATGAACTCTACAATGAGTTTTAAACATTAGCACAAAATTGAAGACATGTATATATCTCTAAATATTCCAAACGCATGAAAGGTATAACTCATTAATAATTCAAAAATATTATGTAACTTTTTTTACCTTAGTCCATCAACTGTTGCAGAAGGGTTGAACACAATTTCAGCTCCATTTAGGCCAAACATTAGCCAATTAAGTGGATGATGACGACCATAGCAAATGTTTATAGCGATTCGCCCAAATTCTGTCTGTATAATTATTTATACAATATAAATGTTTTATTAGATAAATAAATGATCTCCTTTATAATTTTTGTTAAAAGTTTAATATGAAAAAAATAAAATCAGATATTTTTTTTTTGAAAATTCTAATAAAATGACCAAAAATACATTAGAAACTTAATAACAGAATTTGCATAATGTAAATCAGGGGTTTACTTGTAAAAAACATTCAGAAAATCAGTTTGTTAGCTATGATCTCGCCAGGTAAAATTTTATAATGTTTGAAAAATTTAAAGAAAATGATGGATTGTCATATGATGACTAATATAGATTTCTTAAGTATGCTGCAAGAGTTTGTTTGTTATGAATGATAAGCTCTTGTGCTTTGTTTATCAAAAACATTTTTAATGAGCAATGAGTTAAAGATAAACAGAGAGTAATAATAATAAATAACATTCTAAATGATCCATTAAAAAAAATATATTTTTTTAGATTCAGTATATAGTCTAAAATTACCTGAAAGACAGGATGTCCAGTGTTTCCTTCCATATAATAAGTAGATTCATTAAAATCCCCTACTCTAGGGATATGATTTTTTCGATGTTTTCCAATAACATTTCCATGATTATCAATTACTACAGCAGTGTTCCAAATAACATCTTTTTCATCACGTTCCAAAATTGGAGATATTATAACCATGTTATACTGTTTACAAAGCTAGAAAAATATTTCAACAGTTTTCTTTATATTAAACTAATAAACTTTATTATTAATTTGAATTATCAAAAAAAAAAAAAAAAATGAACAGCAGGTAACAAATTAAAGAAAAATTTTTAGATTAAAAAAGAAAGTTATCAATATTCCAAATAAAATGCCTACCATTCTAGATCTATTATTTCAATAATTAAATGTTTAAGAATAAATACCCTGATATAATTTACTATTTTGTATCCTACAAGGAAAACTGTGAAACATGATTTCAAGGAACACTTAAGCATTGGCAGATTTCCTACGCTTGAACTTATTTTCTTAGAAACTATTAAAAATTTTAAATTTTCGTAAAAAAAAATTGTTATAAAAAACTAAACAGTAATATGTAGTTAAATAATTTTTTTTGTCCCTTCTAGGTTAAAAAACTTAAACTTTATTTTTAGCTTCGATGCGAAGCTGAGAAGGTATTGGTTTTACTAAGATGTGTTATAAGATGCATGATATCATTACCTTTCATTTGGTATAATTTTTTTATAAATCTGACTTTTTACCTGCCTAAAGGGAGGATTCAAAATCACAACTTTTTCAGAAAAAATTTACTTTTTCAACTTAAATTTTGAAAGTGTTCTGGAAAGTCTGACACTTTTATATATATATCTTAAATTAAAGCTAATGTAATGCACTTTATTATGGAAAAAATAAATTTCGTACTTTATTGTGTCTTCAGGGTGAAATTGGCTACCAAATGCTATTTTTGTGTGAAAATTATCGATTTTATTTTTAACTTTATAATGCTATAACTTATTGAAAAGTGTATGGATCAACATAATTTTTTTATGAGAAATAATAATTTTTAATAATCCCTTTTTCATTCGATATACTTTATCTGAATCAGGATATTAATATCGAACTAGCAAATCATGTTGCTTTTGGAATAATCCACCAATTTTTTAAAATTAAACTCTATCTAAAGATTTGCATCGAAGCGTTTTTTTTTATAGTGAATTTAATCACTGTCAGATATCTTAATACTTGATCCAACTATGCCACGTCACCACTGTGCCGCGAACCCCCTTTGCTGGGTTTTTTTGTTAATGAGAACCCCCATTTTCACTTTAATGATAGAAAAAAATAATTCCATACAATTTTGTTCTTATAATATTTTTTATTTGATAATTTGTTCTTCTGTAATTGCTTGTTAAATCTTAGCGATTTTAGACCATATTTCTATTTATAATTTGCTATTTAGCATACAGTAGTTATTTCTTCATGTCACACAAACAATTTTTTATTGATAATTCTTGTTATCACATCTCTCACTAACAATAGCAAGAATAAATATGAATAATAATAATTTATGGCTCATTGAAACAGTATTTGTTGCTTCCTGTATTATGAAAATCAAATTAATGATTAGTTTTTATTTAAAATCTATCATATCATTCAGCGAAATGTGGAGATTCCCACTAAAGAAAATTTAATTTGAATTATTTTATCTCTGAAGGCGAGAAAAAGAAATATTTAACTATATAATATTGTAGAGTTTTTTGAATCAAACAATAATATCCTTTTCAAAAATTGAAAATACTCTGTATCTTATGAGAAAATGTGTTCCTATTCTTAAGCAATGAATACAAGTAGTTTCATTATTTTTTTCTTGTAATTCAAGTTAAGTTACTACCTAACACAGGTTACAAGAAATCAATTTTCTGAACATTTTTTTTTATGTTTTTTTAGGTCGTTTATATATACTTTGGAATTTTTATTTCAATATTGTTAGATGACATATTTATAGTCTTTTCATCAAAATTTTAATTTTAAAATAAATAAAATGTTTGTTATTTCTAGAGACATTAAAAATATTGGTTAATAATTTACGATGGTAAGATATATGGATAAACATAAATATTAAAATGACAGGTCAATAACAACATTTGGAACAGTACTTCAAAAGTTATTGTAAGTGAGGAGGAGAAAGAGTGCGGTCTCGAAATGTTATAATATAGTCTTACCAACACCAACCACAGTCTATAATTTATGAAAAACTGATTTAAAAGTTCTTATATACCTGCCATTTTCATAACTAGATAATTTTTTATTTTATAAACTAGTTAAATATATGTTAAAAAATTAAGTTGACACCACTATAAAATATGGAGGATAATACTAAATAACAATTAGTAACTCTAATAAATTAAGAAATATATATAACTATAAAAACCAAAAAGATTTCACAATATATTTATTTTTGCAAGTAATTAAGTGGTTTGTGACAAATAGATAATGAATATAGTCTTTTTTTTTTCATGGTAGAATTAATATTCATATATGTATTCATAATATCAATAATATATATAGTATACTTGATCAAATCTAGTCAATATTTAGTAGTTATTATAATTTAATAAATACATGTAAAAATTATTGTTAAATATTTTGGACTGATTTATACCAAATATTTGGCTTTTTTTGTGTACCAAAAAAATTAAAATTTGGTTTTATTCAAATTTATTGATTTACTAGTTTAAATTTAAATATACTATAATAGGTATTACTTTTTTTAAAAATAATGTTGAAGGACCATCCTCAGCTGATTCAGCTAACTCACACCAAGGATACTTTTCTCGGGTACAAAAAGCAAATGGCATTGCTAAACAAAATATTTAACAATTGAATTATTATGTTTTTAAAATTTTTTTAAGAATTCTATCTAAAAAATTATTTGACATAACAATTCAAATAATTTTTCTGATTATTTGTTCTGGTTTTGGAAGGCACAAAAGTAAAAGCTTTCAACCATACCTCTATGTAGTATTTATTATTTTTTAAATCTTACTCCATGCTTCTTGAAGACAAATAACATTTACATTAACTTCAGCAGCCAGAGAAATAATAAGTTTGATTTTTTCAAAAATTGCATTCCTTTGTTCTAATATTGAACTATTTGTAGGTAAAACTATTTTATTTTGAATAACACCAATTTTTACAATTCTAAAAAATTATTATTATTAGAACCTTGATTATAATTTGTTTAGCTTTATTTTTCAATCTATAAAAAATAATCCTCACTAATATTTACATAATATTAATGACTTAGACAAATAAAACTTCTGAAAATTATTTATATCTTTATACCAAGGCAGGACAAAGAGTAGGTCTGGGAATTGATTAGTGATAAAAATAGCAACATCTACTCTTCACCACCAACCATTATAATAAATTGTTAATAACTTCTGAAATACTGGTCTAAAAGTCGTTATTGATCAGTGATTTTCTAAATTAGATTATTTCCTATTTTATAAATTAGGTAAATATGTATGTTGCCATTTAAAAAATAAAATAACACCCTTAAAAGGTATAAGGGATAAACATAAAAATTATATTACACATAAATAATATGTATCTAACATAATCCCCTCATAAAAATGTTTATTTTAAAAGAAATTAAATGGCTAGTGTTAAAAGAATCACTGTATATTTTCCCTCTATTTAGAGGTTTTAAGCAAAATGTTGTTTAATATGCTATAAATTTAATAAATAAATTTTTAAAAATAAAAAAATTACCTTAATTAAGTATAGTTTACAATGAATTAATTCACAGAGATATATTATAATATAAGTAAACGTGAAAGAGGTATAAGATTTAGATGTTGAAACTATAAAGGCATTTATGACATTTTGGCTTATCAATCAACATTTGATAAATGAGCAAAATTCAAATTTTTAAGTTTTTAATTACTTAATTTATTTCAGTCGTACCTTTTTTCACGTAATTCTTCAAAGGGGCAATGAAATTTGTAACCTTTAACTTCAATATTATATTTGTTATTAATACATGGACCTGGAAGTTGTAATTCTCTGTAATCACACAAAGATTAATTTTTATACTTATTTTATTAACAAAAAATAAAATATTAAAAATAAAAACAGAAAAATTAACATACTCTAATTTTTTTCCATATAAAATTCGTTGCACTTCACTTAGTTCTTCTCGAGGAATATGATTTTCTAGGCACTTTTCAATACTCTCAAACATTTTAAGCAGTATATATGATGGCTTGAGATTAAATCGAAATTAATAGTCAAATTGAGATTTATAATAGGAGAAATTTACATTTTTTCAACGGTTTCAATATTTTGATGTAAAATATTTAAAAACAGTAAGATAAAATATCTTATTTGTGATAATAGTACTATCATTATAGACTATACAGAGTATTTTACGATGTTCTGACAAATTCACATTCTTTTCTTAGGGCAAATTGTTGAAACATGGTGGTATACTTTTTATAATATAGTCTGTAGCTTATAATATTTAAGAATAGATAACAAGGAATTTATACCTTATTATTTATGTATACTAGCATTAAGTGTAGATAGTACTATCTATAACTATATATCAATATGGTTACTAAATTCTTATCAATGGTTACTTATCAGTTAATTTCGGGTGCTAAATTCATGGACATTACTTAACGATACTATTGAAATAAATATTGGGCGATGAAGAAATTTTATGAATTTAAAACTTTGAAAAAATTTAACGGTGGCTTTATAGGATTTTAAAGAGGTATTTTCATTTTTTAAAGTATTCATCAATTAATATAATATGAAAAATTCCTTACCTTAGGCTGCATAGCTTGTTCAATTAAATGTATAAAACTATTATACTTAAAGGTATAACTAAAAAAAATATATATATATATATATATATACATCGTGATTTACTAATTTGACTATATGAGTTAAAAGTAAATGTAGTAAATTACGATGGGACTACTATAGATGTATAATGTACGTTATACATTTAATAATCACCTCAATTAGAAATTTAAATTTTTGATGGAGCAAAAAATCCTAATAAATTTATAATTATAACTATTAGAACAAACATTTTTTCAAACAGAACTAATTTTCGAAAAATAAAAAATATGTAATATTAATGAATGAAGAATATTGTTAAACATAATATTATTAATAATGAAATTCAATTATCAAAATAATTTTCTTTTAAAAATTGTTTTATAAATTCTATGTAAGAAAAAAGTAGTTTCTTGCCTTTATTTTAACTGATAATGATAGTAAAATATATTTTGAAATTCTTTTTTTATAAAATGTTAATATTTAATAATGTCAATAGGAAAACCTTGTATAATGTTTTAATTTAATAAACGTTAATTATAAGAATTGTATAACATTGAACTCAATTTCAAAATATTATTATCATTTATTTAAACATATAACATTTTTTTTTAAACAATGCATGAATTTTGAGTAATTTGTATTAAAAAGTTAAATATATTTTTTTAATAAAAGAAAAAAATAACATCTACAAAAATATCCTTAATTTAATTGCCAAATCTCTATAACTTAAACTGAGTATTGAATCTATGAACTCAAATAACTACTAATATTCTAATCATTTATTAATGTATTTATTAATTGATTTCATTTATTACTTGAGGACTAGAATATACTATTTATGTAGGAATAATAACATCTCACTTTTAGTATAAAATTTTTCTAATTTTACTTTGAAAATGTATCAATTTTATTTTATACTATGTATATTTAATATACTATTTTTTTTTTATTTAAAATAAACAAATGGGTGCTCTCTTGTAAACTTTCATAATTTATTATTTTTAAATTTTAAGAAAGAAATATATAAAATATTTAAATTAATAATATGTCTCATTAGTTATCTTCTTAAATTTAACCATTGTCTTGACTTGAGTTCTATAAAACTAATAACTGGTTTACTCCTTGGTCAGCTGGGTCCTTCTCTTTAATTCACAAAAGATAAGGTTTCTCATAACAAATTTTAAATTCCGAAAATATTCATATCAGTTTTTATTAAAAAAAAAATTAGGAATAATTTTTTCAAAAGTTTAAGACTAGGACCTGCTATTGTTTATTATTCTGTACAGGGTTAGATGATTTAGATAAAAGTATTTATTTTGTTATTGAACTTAATATAGTGTTTTATTCTTTAATATTAATTTTTTTATTGTGTAGTACTTATAAAGTTAATTTTTAAAAGAAGCAAGGTTATGAGTTCTGATTTATTGTTATCATTTACCCAGACACCAGTGAAGTCAGAAGTTAATAATGTAAGAAATTATAAAGGGCTTTTTCTAGTTGGAGTAACTGGTAAGTTATAATTGTTTATTTTCTGTAAAAAATTGTGAGTGTAATAAGTAGGTGAAAAACATTTTTTAGGTGGTGTATCTATTGTTTTAAGTGTCATTTGTTATCCATTTATTTCTCCTGCTTTACGAAAAATATGTTTACCATATGTTCCAGCAACTAGTGTTCAAGTTCAAAATGTACTGAGAATCCTTAAAGGGCGTTCTGGAAAATTAGTTGATCTGGGAAGTGGTGATGGAAGAATTGTATGTAAATGTTATTTATTCAAAAATAAGTGTTACTAAATGTATTAATTTTTCATGTAGGTGATTGAGTCTGCCAAAAAAGGTTTTGAATCAGTAGGAGTTGAATTAAATTATTGGTTAATATTATACTCAAGATTGATTTCATTACTATCTAACATTAAACCTCGTCCAAAATTCATTCGATCAGATTTATGGAAGTATAACTTAAAACCATTTCCAAATGTTGTTATATTTGGTGTAGATGAAATGGTTTGTGCTATTTATTTATATATTTACAATAGTTAATTGATGATTTAATGATCAAATTTTTTGTTGGAAACGTAATTTAAAATAATTTTTTTTATTATAATCATTATTATTATAAATTATTTATTATATCATTTTCTTAATTCGTTTTAAATTATACTTAATCTTTAAAAAAATTCTTGTTTCTTTTTATTGATTTCAATACATAGTATTATTATATCTCAACAATTAAATTCTATTAATGTTATTATTTTTAAAGAGGATCATAAAAAATAATTCATCAAATTTTGAGGTTTTATAAGAATTGATTCCAAGACAGTGGGGTACAAAATTTGTTATTTTAATTTTTATATTATCCTATAAATTGAAATTTCTCTGTCGGACATTTGTTTTATTCACCAAGTTGTGTAATTTTTATTGATTGTTATTGGGTATTGAAATAATATTTGTAAATATTAGCAAATATTTTATTATACAATGAATTTTATTTATTATAAAGTTTTTATCATTAGTTTAATTTTAATATTATTTTTCTAAGTTAATACATATAAAATGTTCAGTTTGTATAACACAAAAAATTTGTTTGTCTTTGATTAACATAAATTCATAATTACTTTATGAATGTACCTTGAATTCATTTAAAAAAAAATTTCCTAATTTACCATCCATCAAAATGATGAAATTATATATTTTATGAAAAAGTGATTTGAAAAATTATGTATTAATTTCCATAACTTTTATTTATTAGATATTATATTTTTCTATTATTAATTATTTTCCCATTAATTTTTAGATGTTAAAGCTAGAGGAAAAGTTTAATATGGAATTAAATGATGGAGCAGTAGTTATTGCTTGTCGATTTCCTCTTCCAAATTTGGTACCATATCAAGTTATTGGTACAGGTATAGATAAAGTATGGGCTTATAAGATTAGTAAAAATAAAACTCAAGATATATAGCAGAACATATAAAGGATCAAAAAAAAAAAAAATGACCTAATTGTGCTTGGTGACTATGTTATTTTATTTATTTTCTGCTATTACCTTGATAAGAAGGTATTATTTTACATAATATATATTTTTTTCATTGTATTATATTGTTTTTATATTCATTATTTTTTAAATTATTAATTTTACTATTATGTGTTTGTTTATTATTATTTGTGAATGTGTTTTCGTCACCAATTTTTCTAAGCTCCCACTGGACCTATTTTACTGAACAATACATCAAAATATCACAAATTGTATCTTATTAAAAACATTAACCTGGATATGATATTTTTACTTCAAACTGCCATTTTTTTTTGAAAATAATGTTTTTTTGCTTTGGCGGCTGATTTTCCTTAGCAGGAACGTTATTTTAAGAACTATAATTTAGTAAATTTGATGCCTTCAAGGTTTGACTCAGATAAGGAATTGGCATTTTGCAGAGCGAATAATTTTTTTTGAGATAAGTATAAATTTTCATGCTCTTTTAATGTTTGCCTAATTATTCCTGAAAGCTTCGTATCATTTGAGTCCATAGTAAGTTTGTTGAATATAATGACTTCAATAAAGTACAGTTTGTAATTACAGCTACAAAGATTTAATGAGAAACTTACTAAATAAGAAATAACGGTAGACCTCAACATTTTTTGAATTTATACAAGTAGAAATTCTCTAATCTCTTAGCTACAAACTTGTTATAACCATAGATTCTACACATACTATTTTATTTTCAGATAAAAGTAGTATACTTTTTACCTCAAACCAACATATTTTATAATTTTTCTATCAGGCAGTATATTATGTTAAGTTACTTAACATAATATACTGCCTAATTATAAAATTACTTTTACCATTATAAAATAATGTTTTTACTGTAAAAAAAAAATCAACATTACAACTTCACTTCATGTTTGAGGATAGATCTATTGTAGTTTACAAATCGTACATTTTTAAGGCAGGATGTAGAAGATATAAATGTTAATTCATTTATATAATCACCTTTTTACACAAAAATAAAATTTTAAGTCAAATTTCAATATTAATTATTAATTTGTGTTTTTTATTTGAGATATTTACTTATTTTACATAAAAAAATATAAATGTATACCTAGATTTTAATCTATTAAATTATAAATATTTAGATACATAAAATGTCTTAATATCAAATATGATAAAAACTTTTATAACTAAATTATTAGAGTAATACAGTAAAATTACTACAAAGCAATAACACTGTCAAAGATATTAAGTAAAAGAAGAAAATATATGTCGTAAACATTAGAGAGGGAGATAGAAAATACGTAATATACAATAATTAATAATCAATGTGATTTACAATAAATTAGAGTTTAATTGAATGTTTGAAAACCAAATATCAAACGAAAAATTGAGCAATCAAATTGGCTAATCCTATTATTGATATCGTTACATGAAATAAAACAGATCCTGCAGAAAGAAGATTTCGGCTTCTTTGTGACGCTAAATGTAACATTGTGGGTAATGTATAAATATATACAAAACCGCAAATTGCTCCACTAAATCTATAGCATAAAAATAAAATTTCTTTATAAGTTTTTAATCTAATAATAAAAAAAATTTAATGTGTATAATATAAATATAATTATTTATATAGAATGTAAAAATAAATAATGTATAGATACATGATGTATATATATATATAATATATACACAATGTATATATTATTTGAAATTAAAAACAAAAGAGACCTATACTTATGCTAAATACAAATATTTGTGAGAAGCGTATTCGGTTGGGTTTGGTTTGTTCGTTGGTTCGGTCATTAGTTAATTTGTAATTTAATTTCTGTGTTTATTTAAAGAATACCTTACGCTAAAAAATTCTATTGTAGTATATTCAATAGATTTTTAGAAACAAAATACTATTTATTTAACAGTTTTATGCATTTTTTAAGTTAACAACTTTGTAAAAAAAATTTAATACTTTTTAGTTTTGAATTACAAATTAAAAAAAAAAATTATTGAAGGGCACTACCGATTTTAACATTAATTGTTGAATTGTATTTATTATTAGAGACGATGGAAAAAATCTAATTGCAAATTTATAATCAGTGCGAAAATTTGTTTTAGAAAAGTATATTTTTGACTATAATGAAAATTCCTTGTAGAGCAGTGAATTTATTTATAATTAAATTAGAATTATCTTCTAAAGTTTTACATCAAGCTCTTTAATTTTTTTTAACGAGTTTGTTACGAAATATACAACTACTTTAACATTTTTTATAATTACTCAGTAAAAATTACAATATTAAATTATTGAATATCAATTTCATACTAAATTTAATAACTATAATTAGTATTTATTCATGTATTGTACTTTTAAATCAAAGAACCACTAATCAGAATATAATTTAGGAAATAGGAGTTAAAGTTGTTTTTGTAATTATCCACCAATTTCTTAGGATTACACACTATCTACAGATAAGCATTTCTTATGATAGATTATAATCATAGTCAGATATCAATTATACTATTTACAACTGTGCTACCGTTTTTATATTTATTTATTCTATTAACCAATATGAAAAAAAAAAAAAGTGTAAGGGATAAATAACATGAAATTTTATTTTTTACGTAGTTTAAATATGTAAACATAGCTTAAAAAATGAACGACTAAATGATTATTGGATATAAAGATAATAATAAGCGTTGTCAGTTAGAACTGGGACGCTCAATTATATAAGAAATTATGTAACTTTTTTTCTATCAAAAAATTGATAGAATATTATAAGTTTTCGCAAAAAGTAAAAATCTATAATTGTAATCGTATTAAATACTTTACCTTATTACTGTTCCTATGTGTGGTAAGAAAATAGCAAACAATATGCAGATGGAAACGACGAAACAGTTCAGCGCTACAACATGTAGTACACTTGGATAAATTGAAAGCTCAAGAGCTGCAAATATTTGAACTCTGAGCATGTACGATATAAGTGGGTAGACAGTTAGAAGTTGAAAGAATAGAAAAACTCGTGCAACAATACTGAAAACATCCGTGCTGGGGAAATTATTTAGAAAGTTCTAAAAAATAATAAATTTTCAATTTGTCAACATAAATAAAGCAAAACTATTAAGTTTGAATAAAATATAATAAAACGTGTCGTAAATCACACAGTTGAAGTCAAATTGCTTAAATGGAGATCGCGCTATTGCATTTACCCACTTATTCGATCCGTAGCTATGAAGTTTTACTTTGAAAAACGTATTAGCGAGAAAATAATTGCTCTTCAATTTGTTTACAAATTTTTAGTTGAAATAATTCTCTAATTCAGTATCAAGCTCAAATGTTTACACTTATTATCAATTCTGTTTACTATGATTTTGTAGGTTAAATATGTATGTGTTAGTTATGCACTTTTGTTATACGAGTTCAGATTTTCATAGTAGTTAAAAATGGACTAACACTTAGATAGACTAAGAAGTGTATTACCTCAAACTCATATATTTTTAATAGCCCTTACAATACTCAAAAAGCAATAAAAATGGAGGCTTATTTTTGCTCATTTTTCTGCATCATAAATTTGCATAGTTTTTCATTATTTTAGAATTAGGTTCCCTGGCAATATTATTATTAGCTATAATAATTAGATGAATTAACCATAATTTCCGTTATGTTCAACACAAAGTAGGTTAAATACTCACGTCTTCGATACATGATTTGGCCAATGGAAAACATACGTAAAATGTTATACCAATCAATAGATATGTAATGAGAACAAGCATATATGCTATTGTTAAATCACGCCCCTAAAAAAAAATAATTTTTTATTATATATAAGAACGTCGTGTGCTTTTAAAGCGTCCGTAAAATTATAGATGTTTTACATTGTGCTTTTGATTCTCATTATTTCGCATGATTGTTATTACTATGTTATGGATAAATAGGGAAAGAGTAAGTATTCCTGATGTAGCTGGAAACGTATTTTTATATAATTCTGAAATATCCGGTAAACCATTTACTATGGGAGTTGATAGGTTTATACCCCAACTGTATGATTTTATCACAACAAATAAAAATAGATAGAGCACAGACAGAGTACCTATGAATTAAAAACAATAATAGTTATAATTAAAAGTTCACATGTTTCTTTTAAATATTTTTGAACTCACCTAAAGAATTGAATTTTGTAAAAAACGTGGCTGATTTAAAATTTAAAAGTGGAGCAACAATTAACACAAGAAATATTGGCACCGTTTTATGTAAATCCCAAATTTTTTCATAAAGACTAAACGGTCTGGGAGAGTTTGCGGAAATTAAGAATTCGGCGTTACTGGGACACAATACTGTAAAATAAATTGAATTATTTATTATTTGTAATAATAAATCAAACGATAATACTTACAATTAGTACTATTGAATTCGAAAGCTATCGTGTTATCACCCGCAAACAGCAAATCTGTAAAAAAAAAACCGAGTAATTATTACAACACTTTATCGTATCATATTATATAATAATGTTTTTAGAAAAAACTTATTTTACGCTCATTCCTTACCGTGCAAATAGTTCACTGAATAGTACAAAAAATTAGACATTAATATCCAGTAGCATATATTAGCACCCAGCAAGATCACAAATGAAAATAATTTAGCAATAACTGCGGCCCAAGGACCCAAAAGTTTTTTACTAAGTTGAGCGACTTCGCCATTTTCATTTCCTAAAATTATAATTAAAAATTTAATCAAGCGATTTTTACAAAAAATTATCACGAGACCCTCACCGTGTAGTACTTGTACATTCAAAATACAGTTTGCCGAATATAAACAAAGACCCGCGATGAAAAACATGAGTACTAGTCCCATTATGAGACCCGATCGCTCGACACCCCATGGCATGGCTAACAAAGAAGTTCCCATTATTGTGTTCCATATTGCAAATCTAAAAAAAGACTCGAAAATAAAAATAAAGTGTGTGATAAACATCTAAAAACGAACAAGTGTCAACTGTACATTCTACACAGACTAAAACAACGAACTCTTTAAAATATCAAATCAATAAATTTTATATAGAAAATAAATTTAAAAAATAAAGATTTGAAAATTGATTATTTTTTAATGGATTGCATTTCTTACTATCTGATAAATTAAAATAAAATATTTAGGTTGGTGCGTTTGTTAAATTGTTATGTAGCTTAGGAAATCTATTTTCGGAACAATTGTATTATTGTCACAATTACTTCAAATAATTATTGTACAATGGCACAATATAAAATGATTAACTAATACCTTTCTAAAAAAGTAGAACAACGTTTATTTAATAAGAGAAATTAACTTATCAACAATTATTATTTATTACGCAATATTTATTTGTCAGTTTTATCTCTAAAGTGAATTCTTTATATTATAAACGTTAGTTTCAGTCGTGAATAGGTTATTTATTTTTTTCATAAAATGTTAATCAATCTATTTATAGTAATTTTCATTGGATAGATCTATTAAAGAACAAACAATGATAAGAGTATATATGACGACCAGCATTTCAGTAACCGACCGTTTACCTGGGACATTGAACCCGCTTCAACGGCGGCGTTCAAAAGTGCAACGACCCCAGACTCTCCTTATAGGATTTGGGGGGTGTACAATGATCAATAAACCCCCTTGCGCCGTCAGCGGACGTATCCGCTACCATGGCCGTCGCACCATAACGTCTGTTAAATCTTCGTGTCATTCACTAGATCAGGCCGGCCGGTCGCCGGCCTCACAGTCGTTCTTACCATCTTAAAAAAATGTTTAAATAAGTTTTTTTTTTTTAAGTTTACTTAATTCTTTTAATAGGAATATCTCTTTATTTATATAGTATTATAAGGTAATTTATAATAAATATAGTTTAGATGGAGCGTGATGGTGATTTATTGTAGTTCTTTAAATTAAGGTAACTAAACTTTAAATTCAAATTAAAATTTTAGTCATAAAATTCCAATAATAATCCTTATCAAGTCAGAAACTATTTCATTGTAACAATCAGTTTTACAAATAAGTTAAGTTTTTATTGTCTAGCGGAAAAGTAGTATCTGATAATAAGAAAGGGCAAAACAATTTTTAATTGTTAAATTTAAAGTAGTTTTTATGTTTTGAAAATGTTAACAACAAAACTGAAAAAGAAATTAAACATCGAGTATGGTAATGCATTATAAGTAATAAACTAACGTTAAAATTTTTTACTAAATTGTACCTAATTAAAACAATTTTAGTATACAAATCATTTTTAGGATTCCTTTAAAGAAAAATTGATTTGTTATTTAGTTTTTACACATTTTCCCGAAAACTAAACTTTTAAAAATTTGTCTATTTTAACCTTTTATTCGTAAATAATGTTTTTTCATATATTTAACAATAATTAAGCAGAATAGAGTACTTACATGGTAACTAAACTACTCTGTGTATAAGGTTCTGTTGTTATCTAAAATAGTAAAATATAAATTATTTATAAATATAACATAATTTTATCTATTTATAATTTACATAGAATATTAAAAAATCCACAATGTTTATTTTAATTTGCTTATTATATAAATAGCGAATTTCATAACGTTAAGTATTAACTACTCGCTACTTTTTAGTTCATTTATTCAACATAAAAATACTAATATTACGCAGTCATAAAAAAAATTGGGTTCCTCTATTATTTACATTAACACGACGTTTAATCATAATATTGTAAGTCAAATATTGATAACTTTAAGTTTTATAACTTTATTAATATTATATGTATACATTGTATACAAATTTAAATTGCATTATATAAAATGTAATACATTTTATTTGGTACAACTAATCCAATTAATGTCTTACTACGAAAGTTAGGGGTTGTATAGCATCTCCCGTTATGAAATCCATGAATTAAAAACATCTACAATCTTTTATATCAATTTTTAAGTTTTAATATTGTTTTGAGTAAAAAAAAATGATCAAAATTGTTTTAAATTAAAATCTCCTGCTTGGTTTTCTTTTCTCTGCCCTTTGCCGTTACGTTACTGAATTTTATTATCATTAGGATCATTTTAGATCTAGTAACAATAATTTATTAGATATTTAAGTAACTAAATAATTTTTGTCATCTCAACAATTTTTAACACTAGACTGTGCTCGAGAAGATTTTGAAACTGAACCATCCACTGGAAATCATAACATATTATATTCCTAAGTAGAAATTCTTAAGATACGTTAATGAAATAAAAATAAAAAGTGTATGATGATTCGATAAAAATCTTTTGGTAACCAAAAAAATTGAAAAATCTAATCCTTAATTATAAATTCAGCTTGTTATGTTTAAATAATTCAAGCTAAATTTAAAATGACCGAAAAAGATTACTAACAAAAAATATTTCCTACTCTTTTCTAGTTATAAATTTCTGTCGGTCACAATTGTTTTATCATCAAGGTGGAAAAACTAAAAGCCTATGCCTCTAATTATGCCATTTAAAATAATAATCATAAAGTTTCTAAAACAATAGAAGATAAAGAAGTTGAACAAATTTTCATTTGGAAAAAAACGGACAATTTAGAAAATATATGTATTTTTTATTTTCCAAATAATTACTAATATAGATTAGTAGAAAAAATAATTTAATTTTAAACTTATATCGTGTTTGTCGCGTACCATTAAATTTTAGCTACTTTAAAAGGTATTATCGTTTTTATACCACACCGGAGGAGTAAGAGGGTTCATAAATGCTTAGAGATAAAAATAAATATACCCCTTTTCATTTCTAGTTATTATACTAAAGTGTTAATAACTGGCAAAAAACTGTTTAAAAGTTGTTATTGATCAGTATTTTTTTTAATTAGACCATTATCTTATTTATAATCTGGTTAAACATATATATTTCTAATTAAAAAACAAAAGTTAACTCAATATAAAAAAGAAATGAGAGAGAGTAGAACCAAATTTTTTTTTCTAATTATAAAAGGTAGGACACCATTAATTTTTGTAAATTAATATTTGTATACGCATTTAATTTTTGAAGTTTTTGCATGAGTTATAATTAAACAATCACCTTGTATTGTGTTTAAGTAAAAATAAAAAAAGGATTATTTGGTTTAACTTTAAACATTTTTGTTGTTTATTTTTCCTACAATTAATCAGTTGTTATCATACTCACTGTATCGCCAAGGGGAATATAAGGTTGTAATTTGCGATAGAATTTTGGCCTATTTATGATGTCGTAGTCTAAACTAAATGACCTAGAAATCAATGATTGAATATAATATTTAAGAATTAATAAAAGAATTAATAAAAGCTTTTACGGATCTTTATGTATTAGTAAATCATAATTTTAAATACCTTAGGTAGTATGGATACAAAAGTTCATTTGCCTTTGTTTGTGTAGGAACCTTATTATTTTCTAAATCACTAGTTTCGGAATCATATTTAAATATAAATCCATGTTCACTAAAACATGGCGTAAGAACACAAATATTTAAAAAAAGAAAATATATAATAAAATTATCTGTTGACATACGTTAGACTAGTTCTACTTATATCTGAACTTAATAGAGGTTGAACTTCAAGCTCTGCCGATGTTAACATAGACTTCGCTCGAGGCCTGTTACTCTTTTTTGACAGTTTTCTCACTGCACGACCCATTTTGATTGGTTAAAAATGTTTTTAATAGAGCATAATAAAAAAAAAATCAATATTATTATCAAGAGATAGTAAAAAATAACAGTACAAAGTAATGACACTATTTAAACATTAAATTTGATTTGTCAAGCACGTGCGTAGCAATCCAACGTTCATATTACGACTCTTCCACAAGTTATGTACTCTTCTTTTTACGCGCACATTGGTCATTAGACAGTGCAATGTTATTAGTATTTTATCGATATAAAAGATGACCCTTATACCCTACTCACCTTGTTCTCTTAGCCTAATTTAGTTTATTATCTGCATGGTTTCAATGTTTTTAAAGGCTGACAGATTATTTGGCCAAAAGTTATTTTACAATTTGATAATAGAGGTATAATGCAAAAGCCTATAATTACACTTTGAACACAAGGTTGTTTTTAAGTACTAGCCGTTTGCTCACGATATGCATAGATGAACAACTATACGTTTTTTCATTTTAAAATTTATGAAGAGTTTAAATGTGAATTAATGTACATTGAATGTTATTTTTGCATATTTACAATAAAAACATTACACAACTAATTGCTAAACTTATTTTTCTACCTAAGAAATAATATCCGGAATATTAGATTTCATTTTAATGATACAGAAAAAGTAACAATGAATGTTATCATAGTAAATATTAAAATATGACGTTATTTTTACTATTATATTATTTAAATAAACAACTATGAATTATTGTTTTTATGTTATCAAAAATTTCTATGGTGTTAAAGAGTCTTTAGGTGTTGAACATTTTCATTTATTTTATTGATCGTTTCTATCTATTATATTAATATTTTTAATTGATAGATTAACCTATGAATTAAAAAAAAAATATATTTTAATATATTTTTTTGAATAGTTAAAATCGTTAATGAGAATTAGTATTTGATAATGAACGTTTTATTAATAACTATAGAAAAATCTCTTTTTCAGTATGTTTTCTGATAATGAAAATTTGACAGCATTATAAAAACATACTTAATAATTTGTAAACACATTTATTGTACAATGTACAAATTTGTAGTAAATAAATTATTTATTTGTGATCTAACGTGATCTTATTAAATGATGTTTACTGAATTATATTATGCACAATCCTGTAACATTTATTAGTTATTTTTTAGAAAACGTACGTAATAGTATGAACTTAGTAATCTTCCCATCTATTACATGATTGTTTTTTATAGTTATAATTGTTGTAGGCATAGCACAAATATTTTAAGATTATCTCCAGTTTAAGTTATTAAGTATTTTTAAAAACCGCTTTAGAGTTTTATTTTAATCAAAATGGTAGAGGTAAATTGTAAAATAAAATGTAATCATGTATAGCAGTGCCCTATATATAGAAGGGTAATTAGAACATTTATAATGCGCCTTTTCAAAAGAAGCATCCTACGGCAATATAATTTGAAAAAGTTAACATTTTATCTATGGTAATAATGTTTTTTTTGCTTTTTTATTTTACGAGATATGTATTTATGATAAGATTAACCCTCAATATATGTTGATACTTTTAATTATTATTTAAAAAGTAATCATTTAAAATCACTTAATAATGATGGTTATCAAATATTTAACACTTTTTCTATGGGTATGTTATTTATTGAAAATAAACAAAGTATAAGGAATATTTTAACACGTATTTTTATAATACAATAAGTAGACATTAATTATCTATATACACAGAGTGAAGTAGCAAATTATGAAAATTGAAATCATTTATGCAGTACGCATTATTTTCATGTTTTTTTTAAAGAATAAACCGTAGTTAAATTAAAATATTTGTTATATACTACTCAAAAATTTCCTTTTTTTTTGCTGTAATAATTTATCTCCTTTCCTATCTTCTCTATCCTAATTATTTGTGGTCGACGGAACCTCATTATGTTTGAGGGAATAAGTAAGGGGTAAGGTGCATGTCACTGTTAAAATTCCCGTATGGTCATCCATCCGTCAACCATTTGCAAACAGCGTAGCTGAACATCAGTGCTAAAGCTACGACTGAATGATCCACTGTGTCACACTACGCCTCTTTATTTCTAATAATTATCTGTCATTAATTGGAAAATATTGATATGGGAGTACATTTCTTATAGACTAAGGTATTTATTGTTGGGCGACTTTTTTGGTAATTTAAGAAAAAGACTGTAATCGTTGGTTTGGGTTTAAAATATTTTATAAAATTTAGTTAACTTTTTTTTTTATTGTAGATGTACAAATAGTTTGCATTTTCGAACATAACTATTTTAGACAAATAATAACTGATAACAGTCTGCCTAGTAAATTTTTATAACTATAAACAATTCTATTGAATGGATATTATTATTCAGGTTATAAAGTTTTAGCAACTATATTTTTTATATTTAAATGTACTATCTGTATGTTCCGGATCCTCGTGTGGGGTTGTCACCTATTAAATAATTGTAACAAATGTCAATCTTCACGTACTGTTACAAAAGTGGTCACTTGGTGGTAGTCTAGATCAACCGCGCGGTCGATGGATTTGGTTTCCAGTCGCGAGTAAGATTTGTTTTGATGCATTACTACAACTTCAAGAAGCGGTGCAAGTGGCTGATGGTTGGATGACGTTAGTTCCTTTATTTTTGATGTATTAATATTCAATTGTTTAATTTATTTGTAATAGAATCATCTCATAAGTCAAAATTTAGTAACTAGTCTTTTTTATTGCTTTATTTAAATATATTAGCAAAATTTGCGATCTTTTCTTTATATTTAGTTTTAATTTAGTGTGTTTAAAACAAATTTGGATTAAAGTGATGAGTATTATAGGCAACTCTTAGATTTGGGAATTTAGAAATATTATACTAAGGGTATATATTTTCGTACCTAAAATTTTATATTATAATTTTTGGCCTTCAAGGCTTTTGGTAATTTACCTCTGCTGGATTTACAGTATCTACCTTTACGTATCAAAAATTAAAAACAAATAAATGATTTTCCTACGTTAACTCTTAACTTTCATAAGTATAAAAATATCTTTGAAAAATATATTAAATTAAAAGTTATACAACTTGTCAGAACACATTAACTTACTTTGTACGTAAGAATAAAGAATATTTATTTTTTACTTAAATAATAACAGTTATTTTATTTTATGAATAATTTTTTTTTAAGCATAATTATTTTAATTAATACACATAAATATGGCATTTATGTTTATAAGTATTCAGTTCACCTGAACTACTAGTTTCAAGAACAATTTTCTGTCGTATTATACAATTCTCGTAATACAAAGTACATAAATTATATAACTATTTAACTCTATTTTATCTTATTAGTGTTTATATATATATAATCACTATACATTTAATTTATAAACTAAAATATGTGTTTTAACAGTAGTGTATTTACGGGGGTGTCCAGTTGGATCTATTTAGAAACCGATATATGCATATGTTATATACATTATATATAATACATAAGTAAGTCTTATAGAGCTCTGCATAGGCTAGCCTGGCCTAGTCGGCTCATGGATGGCTTTTGTCATAAACTAATAAGCATCCGGTGAATGATTAACTAAGTTCCTACCCAGATAGCAACTTTAAAAAGTAATGTTATAAAAACATTTTTATAACAAAAGTTTTATATTAAAAAATGCTATTAGTTAAGTATTTAACTATAGACGCACTAAACCACAATGAACACTAAAATTTTAATTCAACAAAAATACAAAGTTTTATAATATAGCTTGATACAAAAATAAAAAAATTAAGAATAATTTAGTTATATAAAGTAATCAATAAGTAAAAAATATATACTTGTTGTTTACACAGGACGGAACAGATTTAATTGGCAACTCTTGATACAATAATCATTTCACTATAAATTTTATTTTTTAAACAATTTTGCTTTCTTTGAATACGTTAAAAGCATATTTTTATTATAAAATACATTTTTTTCAAAAATTATAAAATAATAATTTTTTAGCTCTTCTTTCCTTACAAAAAATTTTGATAGATAGCAATTTTAGGACAAGTAATTATTTAGTTACAATTATTTTAATACATGGTGTATATAATGCGGGTGAAGTACGTATTATAAATATACTTCAGTATGAGCTGTACCTACCCGCGTTTCACACCTACTTTATGTATTAAAATTCTTGAAACTCAATAATAACCTGTCCTAAAGTTATTGATCCACAAAAATTGTTCATATGACAGAGACTAAAAAAAGGCTATTTTAAATTTTGGAGAAAATAAAAAATGAAATGAATTATATTATTATTAATAATTTTGAATATTTTAAAGAGGAGTGATGTTTAATTAATAGTACAGCTAAATTTTTTAAGATTAATTGACTAGAAATATTTTAGTATTATTGATGTTTGTCATTTTTATTAGAATTGAATCCCTTCTTAAACTCCATGTATATTAGAAAATAAGTTACACATTTGGTTTATAGTACAGTTTTTTAATAACCTATGAATTGTTTCATAGTTTTGATTTTTGATAAACGTCATTCAAAGATTGTATGTAATCCTTGAGTTATCTAATCTTTAGTACAAAGTACATATTATTTAATATTCTATTTTGATTATACTTTAAATAAGTTTTTGGTCGGTTTAAATATATTATTATCTACACAATTTATAAATTTTTAGAGAAGTAATATCATTATATGTGTATTTAAGATTTTTCAAAAGGAGACACAAAAACATTTTTATACGTCAAAAATAATCTTTACCAAATTGACATTTAAAAAATTTATTTTCCTTTTTTTTAGTAGACGACGATAGTTACCTATACCTTGGTAGATAAGAGACCAAAATGAAATACTTCACCGGTATGGTTAGTATTGTCGAAAGATTTTGATAGAGCTTAAAATAACCACATATGGTTTCAAAATGTATTCTTATACTTAAAACAACTTTTCAAGAGAGTTCAAACAATTCACAAATGAAATCAGACTTTTTCTTTAGTTTATTCTTACATTTTTATTTCTTTTTATTGAAAAAAAAACATTATTTTGTAACTTATCTCTTAAAAATTTAATTTCTTAGAGAACTGAAACACAATAGTTAATATATTCTCTCATTTTACCAATGTAAATTCTAATAATTCCAGGGCCAGCTCTGATAATTAAGACTACCTGTAAATGATACTGTAGAAGTATCATTAAATATTGATTAGAAGTATTCAAACATTTTTATGTTACAATATAACTACATTGGTACGGTTATTTTTAATGATAGATCTTGGAACAAAAATTTAAATCTCCCAAGGACATTATATATATATTAGAACCTTTAAGTTTTCCAATGTCACGATGTCTAGATAGAGAACAATTTTTGGAGAGCTTATTTTTTTTTTTTTATGTCCTCCAACTGCACGACTAAGTTTTCCTATTTTAACTAAAACGTCAACAAAAAAAACTGAAGTCATTGAAAACTCGATTTATTATTATTTTTTAGCCTGATCTAATAAAGGTATAGTTTTACTCACAGTTCCAACGCTTAAAATTTTGACCTTTTTCTGCTAAATGCTATTCAATATTGCTATATAACACAAAAATCTGATGATTGTACCAGCTATTTAATGTCGGATTTTCTATTCTATTCTTTTCTATTCTATTCTATTTAATATTTAGCTATTCGTTGGCTATAAACCTAATGAAAAAAAATCTTTTTCTATGAAATTTTAGTTACGACATATATTTTTATTAAAAAATAATAAATTCATTTATATTTTTTACTTCTCGTAAGCTTTATGTATATTAACTATGATGTCAAATGGTTAATACTGTACAATGTCTTCGGCTTAAGTTTAATAGATATATATTGTACAATTTAACTATTAGTCTGTTTGGTGATTTTTGACATCACAAGAAATATTTAAAGTTAACTCGCTTCGCTTACGGTTTATCTATACAAAACAAATCTTGGCTTCATTTAATTATATGTTGATGATAAATCATTTAAATGAAAACAAGAGAAAATTAGAAAGCTCCAGTTACAGAATAAATAATAAAACAGACCCTTGGGGAAATTACCAATTTACTGTTGGATCTATACGGCCTTGTATTCGTAACTCAAGTACGTGTAACAATTGAAGGGTTTGATGCAACAAACAGATAAGTCCATCTTTCTCAGAAAATAGCTTTTTGTTGATTTTTAATAAATATAAGTTTTCAGTTAATTCAGTACAAAAACGAGTCCAATCCAATCTTCCAGTTTAAATTTGTTTCATTGAACGTTTTTTTTTTTATAAAATAAAAAAAAATTTTATATTATTTTTTCACTAAAATTAAAAGTTTTTTCTTTAAATGTATTAATAGTACTAATAGTATTCTACTATCTTTTAAGAAGTTTATTTCGCTTTTAGTTGACAACTTTCGATAAAATATTCAGTGTTGTTTAAATTTATTATTAATAAAAATATGTTTTTTGATAGCGTTTAGAGTGAAATAACGAGCAAATCAATTTTTAGTATTTACATGTTTTATACATGCATTAGGTTTAATTATTAGCTGTAAAAATTGCATAGAGTAATAGTTAAAAAAATTATAAATAAAAACAACGTGTCTTTTGAAGCCGGCCGGCAATTACATGATCAATACGCATGCGTTTTTTTTAACCTTGTAAGTAATGGTTAGACAAATGACGTATAGATATGCGAGATAGTTGAAAATAACAAGTCAGGAGCACGACCTGTAGCTTGTAGTCAGCTGTGATATTTTGTCTCGATCCGGTATCGCCCGCTCTAGATCATTTTTTCCCAGTTGTGATATTGAACTGACTTAAAATTTTTATTATCCGTAAACAATTTTCAATAGGTTCTACTGTCAAATTACAGATTATTTTTTCAACTTCTTGTGCCACTTCTTTCTTTGTACTGTCTATGATGAATTCTATGAAAAAGCTTACCAAACCATTTGAAGGCCAAAAACCTGGTACTAGTGGACTTCGAAAAGCCGTGAAAGTATTTCAACAACAAAACTACACAGAAAATTTTATCCAAGCTATACTTAGTGCTATACAGCCTTCAGTAGTTGGCAGTACATTGGTAGTTGGTGGTGATGGACGTTTTTATAGTACTGAAGTTGTAGATTTAATTATAAAAATAGCGGCTGCTAATGGGGTAACTAAATTTTTTTATAATTTCTAAATTTTATTGTTTCAAGTTTTAAAGTAATTAGGTGATACTAGTGAGATAGACTATTATGTAGAAATCAAATCCAAAAAAAAATTTAATTGCCTTCAGAAATATTTCCTTATATAAATATAAAAAAATGGTGTTTATGTTTTAAACACTGAAAAATTATTTTTGATGTCATTTAACATTTATTTTACTGTTTTAGTATTTTTAAAAATGGGTTTACCACACATTAATTTATTTATTTCATTACAACTACTTAAGAATACTTGTTTTTATCTTTATTACACTATTTGTTTTGTTATTACTGTATAGAATATTGTTTAAAGGGCGTTGAAAAACATTCTGTCAGTTATCAAAAGCATAAAAAATACACATTGATCTTTTATATTAAGAGAAAATTAAATTGGTTACTTTAATAAGTAGATAGAATTGTGTTTAGTAAAATTTTTTTGTTTTAATATCTCAATATTATGATTATAAAATTTTTAAGTAATTTTTATTAACAAAAAAAATCAATTAACAAAAAATATGACATACTATATAAAATATTTAAGTGTTTATTTTACTTTAATAGAATCTAAAATAACAATAAAATTTTGTTTTTTGTTATTTTTTATTAAATTGACATTTTTTAGTTTAACTTTTTCAATTTCTTTACTACTTACTATGCACATCTCCTTACAAATTTTATTGGATTATAAAAAAAAAGAAGAAATATCCCTAATTCACTAGACTACAGTTTTTTTAAAAATTGAAAAAGATAAAAACTGTCTTATTATAAAATAAATTAATAAGAGAATATAATTATAGAAAACCTAATAATACAATTTGTTTTCATTATGTAAGGAAATAGAAGTATTTGTTACAATCTATAATTATTAGCATATTCTTATATTTCATTAATTTGTTATTCACAAATTTAAGGTAAAAAAATTAATAATTGGTCTAAAAGGAATTCTTTCTACACCAGCTGTATCTTGCATTATACGGAAGTATAAAGCAACTGGTGGTATTGTGCTAACAGCCAGTCATAACCCGGGTGGTCCAAATAATGATTTTGGAATCAAATATAACACATCTAATGGAGGTAAATTTAGTTATTTATAATAATAATAATTTTAATTAATAAAAACGTATTATAATAATTTTTAAATATTGATTGCTTTGTGTTGTCTGAAAAACTTCTTTATGGCTGTACTTTTTTTTACTATTGTCTAATTATTATTTATAGGTCCAGCTCCCGAATCTGTTACCAATTCAATTTATGAGATATCTAAAAACATTGATAGTTATAGTATAGTTCCTGATTTAAAATGCTCTATAGATTACTGCGGTCATCAATATTTTAAAGTATGAATTTATTATATTGATAATTATTTCTTCCAATCATTATTATTATATTATTTATGGTGTCATAAGGATGAACATTTTTTAATTTTGCTTAGGTTGATGGTAAAGAATTTGAGGTTGAAGTTATTGATTCAGTGTTAGATTATTTGCAGCTAATGAAAAATATATTTGATTTTGATATTATACGTAAACTTATCAAAGGTTCAGATAATAAACCACCTTTTAATATACTTATTGATTCAATGAATGGAGGTTGGCAATAAAAAAAAATGATAATAAATTTGTATTATTTTAATTTCTAATTTTAAATTTTTAGTGACTGGGCCATATGTTAAAAAAATTTTCATTGATGAATTAGGAGCACCATCAAACAATGCTGTAAATATTGTTCCTTTACCTGATTTTGGTGGCCTCCATCCAGATCCTAATCTTACTTATGCTGATGGATTAGTTACTGCTTTGAAAAATGGAGAATATGATCTTGGTGCTGCTTTTGATGGTGATGGTGTAAGTTTTTTAATATTTTATAAAATATTTTTAAATGAAATATTATTTCAATTTATTCAGGATAGAAACATGATTCTTGGAAAGAAAGCATTTTTCATAAATCCTAGTGACTCTTTAGCTGTTTTAGCAAATAATTTAGATTGTATTCCTTATTTTAAAAAAGGTGGTATTACTGGTTTCGCAAGAAGTATGCCAACGGGATCTGCTGTTGATAGGTATTTACAAAAATACATGAAAATAATAAACAATATAATTTTTATTTATTTTTAGAGTTGCAGCAAAGTTAGGAAAAGAACTCTTTGAAGTTCCAACAGGTTGGAAATTTTTCGGCAATTTAATGGATGCTGGTCGTTTATCTCTTTGCGGTGAAGAAAGTTTTGGGTAAACTTTTAGTGTTGCATTAAACGTAAAAGAAGTTTTAAATTGACCAACAAATGTTTTTATATTTTCATAGAACTGGCTCTGATCACATACGAGAAAAAGATGGCATATGGGCTGTACTTGCCTGGCTATCTGTAATAGCCAATGTTGGCGAACCTGTTGATTCAATTCTTACTAGTCATTGGAAATCTTTTGGACGTAATTATTTTACAAGATATGATTATGAAAATTGTGAATCAGAGCCGTGTAACCAAATGATGATTGATTTAGAGAAAAAAGTCACAAATCCTACAATTGTAGGCCAAAAATTCACGTATGGTCAAAAAGTTTATGTTTTAAAGCATGCTGATAACTTTGAATACTGTGATCCAATAGACAAAAGTTTCACTAAAAAACAGGTGTGTTTGTGATATAATTCAAATAAAATAAAATTTGCATTAATTTTTTATTTAATTTATAATTAAAGGGTATAAGAGTTTTATTTGAAGATGGATCTAGATTTGTTTTTCGATTAAGTGGTACTGGTAGTAGTGGTGCTACTATACGTTTGTATGCTGAATCTTATGAGCCCCCAAATTCTAATATATTAGAAGATGCTCAAGTAGCTCTTAAGCCACTTGTTCAAGTATGTAAATGATCTTTTTAACTTTTTTTTAAAATACATATACTTAAATGTTAATTCTCTGCAGTTTGAAATGATTAATAAAAAAATCGACCTTTGTTTAAATGAGATAATTTTCATGAAATAAAAAATAATAGTAAAAATACCCAACAATGTAATTTTTAATAACAAAATAAAATGAGCAGTATGAAAAAAATATAATTTAATATAATTAACATTCTACAATATGATTTCGAAAATTTTATTTATTTTTTTTACATTCCATTATGTATTTATTATTTTTTTTTTTTTAATTTAGATAGCTTTGGAGATATCAAAATTACCTCAATATACTAAACGAGATGTGCCTACAGTAATCACATGATTATAAAATTGTATTTGTTGTTTAGTTATACAATAATATTTAAAGATTCTGTGATGTAGTTAAGTTATTTTTGGAAATATTTTATTAGTTTAATTATTATTATAAAGATAATAAAACAGTTATAATATTCTTTTATTACTAAAAATAATACCTTACTATATGAACAATATGTTAGTTATACTTCTTTGGAAATTTTTTAAAATTTTATTGAAATATGTCATTTTATTCTAATTGTTTTTATTTATACATTTATTTATTAATTGTTTTTAATTTAATGCTTACAAAATGTTTGTATACTTACTAAAGTTAATATATTTAAAAAATACTTTAGTATTCATTTACTTGATTGTTAATTTCTTCAAATATATTAATATAGCTAAGAATATTTAACTTGAAATTTGATTAATAATAATAACCTTTTAAATTTTGTGTTATTAAATATTATATAGTTGGCTGTTTTAGTTAAAGTTATTATACTTAAAAGATAACTATTTATTTAAATGATATATAATTTTTTACAACTAATTAGAATTATAGAAAATATTTTTAGAATTATGACTAAGGTGTAAGTAATTTTAATTATCAAATTTTAGGTAGAAAACTAATGCAAAGTTTACAAACTTAGGTGTGGACCTTGAATGTTATTGTTGATGTTTTTGACCTGTAAAGAGTTTTTGTAACTCTTTAACCAGTTGATACTGCCAATAGTTTGTGGAGTCTACTTAATTCAAAGGGAAATTAAATGTTGACTCAATTAAAGTTAAAATAAAAATCTTTTTATATGTTTAATTAAATAATTAATGTATTATTATATAAATTTTCTTCTATAGAAAAGATGGGATTAGTTTTATACAATTATACATTATAAATGTACTTAAAATTTTTTTTTTTTTTATTATAATATTGTATTTATAAAGAATTATTGACTTATTATTAAGCAATTAATAAGTATTTGCATTACTATATATTACTACGATAATATAACATTTAAAAATATTATATTAGGAATTTATTTTAAATGTAATTTAGTAAAAAAATGTAGTAAAATTTATGCGCTTGTGTAATCATGTAAAATTTGTTTTAAGTTATTAATACCAATCATTTTTTATTTAATTAATATTTTGAATTTGTAAACACATATAATAAATGTTAAATTAGAATTATGCAAGTTTTTTGAAACCTAATCTTAAAAATTATGTTTTAGAATAACCAATTCCTCCTATATACTAAATTATTAGTGTAGTGTAAATTAAGAAATGTATCTTGAAATAGGGTATTCTTATTTAGTAAATTTTAGTTTAAATTTTTTAAGTGCAGTAAATTAATATCTTTTTTACAATAAAAGTCTATGTATTTCAAATTTAAAAATTCATTAAAGTATTTTTAAATTGTATAAAATTTAAATTAGAGAATTGTATATTACTAACAATTTAAGGGGTTGGGTTGGTCTAGTGGATAGAAACGTATGTTTCGACACATGGAGTCGTCTCGAGTTCGATCCCCAGAGTGCCAACGAGATTTTTCTTGTGATTTTCTCATTGGTGGTGTCTGGTTTCTGGTGCAAGTCGGTTATAATACCCGTCCCGTCCATTATTGGCTTAGTCAAGAACCATCTTTAATACCCTAACATGTGAAAGAAGGCCACCATCCTCTGTAGCATGTTAAATTCGGAAAATAGAAGGATGTAAAATTGATCATTATTATATGTTACTAACGATTTAAATACAGGTGATGTAACCAGATTTGGATGTTGGGAGCCTTATAATGATTTTCCTTTTACCTAAAAAATAATTTAATATCGTATTACATATAATTTTCTAAATTTATATGGAAGCTTGGCCTTTAGAGGTCATCTCTAAACTTGCCTATATCTTTTAGATTTAATAGATTTGATCTTCAAACGTTGAACCCTAGTTTATACTTTACTTATTCCATCGTTTCCGTTATAGACATAATCTAATTCATTGAATTCATAATTCATTGAAAAAATCGATCGATAATAAAACTAAAAATGAAATAACATCACAACTGTTTATCAAATCTAAAAGTGTGTGTTATTAATTTAAACTACTTTTTATTTTAAAAAAGAAATAAAATAAAATAAAATGAATGTATTGATTTTTACGAAATTTGGTTAGCTTCCAGTTTAGAAGATGTGATAAAATCTTAATAATCGAATCTACAATTGTTTAAAAATCGATCATTTGTAGACAAGATTGGGCTATTTATTAACAATTTTTCATTATTTATTTAGAGAATTAAAAGTATTTTAAATTTATACGACAAAATTTTGATTGAAAAAGGGATGTGATATTATTTTTGTTTTAGGTTTTAATGTCGATTTTTTTAAATAAAAATTAAAAAAAATCATCTGCCTTAAAAAAATGTTTACATTTGGATACTTTTCTCCAAAATGCATCCACCAACGATGTGTAATGTTTAAAAATCTGAGATAGTCACCATTTTACTCCATAAAAAGAATAACAATATTTTTACCATAATTATTCAGTGTTTAGTAGTAACTAACAAGTTACAGCAACTAAACTACTTATAAAATAATTTTTGTATAATTTAACTACTGAATTAAAAAGTAATTAAATTTTAATTCCAATAAATCATGTAAGGGTAATTTTGAAAAAGTACTTGTTATTTTATTTAAAACGATTCATTTATATAGGATCAAAAATTAATAAAATTATTCTTAACCTCTAAATATTATATAATATTTTAGGAAGTTTTTGTTCTTCTTACTTGAAAGAAAGTTTAAACCGGCAATTTCTCCTTAATATGTCTAAAGAAAACAATATAGATTCAAATAATAGTGTTCAGTTAAGTTTTTTAATTTCGTATTAATATTACACAAAATATTTTTATTTTGAAATTGAGTTAAATAAAATAGTAAAATTAGTGGAATTTTTATAATACAAAATTGTTTGCTAGCCTTTTTTTTTTCTTATAATCAGAAAAAAGTATATTCAAAAAATTATTTAAAAGCTCAATGATGTATGTTTACTAATTCTGTTTTTAGTAAAAATAAAATAAGCTAAAGAAATTGTTTTTGTTACTAAATTCTAATCATGTTCGTAGCTTCACAAACAATTTTAACATAATTTGGTAGGTCTTTTTAATAGCATTCATTTTTTATTGATAAACTGTAATAATTTGAATAATGCTAACACCTCAGCGCATAAATGAAAGTGTCAGCATCGAGCCAATTCGCATTTTGATTGGTCAGCGTTTACTTCTAGTCAGTCTGCATTGTACAGCTGCTTTATCTATTGAGCTCTGAAAATGATAATACTTTTTTGTACATAAAATTTTAACTGCGTACAAAGTAGACGATAACATTGCTATACACCATTTGCGTAGTCGAACGGCGCGTTAACATCTGCTCCTCATTATCACTTGACACTTGTAAGTTATGTTTGTTATTGAGTGTATTTAGTAGTTATAAGATGATCTGTTTATTTCAGTAATCAATATAACTAATAAGGTTTTTCGTCAATCGAGTTCGCGTATGGGTCACTTTAAGTAGTCTTAGATAAATTTATTCAAATTTAAACTCATGTTTTTACTCTGATAGAATTTTTGTGTAAAGATTTGTTGCCGGAAATTTGTTTTTATTATTAATTATAACGACAATTATTTATTGACTGAAGATATTGTACTACGAAAAAGGATATATATACGATTGATCAGCAATCTAGGACTGGTATGTCGCGTATTAGCTCATTTAATAATTATAATATTTATTATAAATTTGATTAATTTTTACGGAAATTGCGTAATAGTGAAAGAAGTTTAATATGATACTGGATAAACGTGCGCGATATGTATATGTTGGTGCTGTAGTAACGTGTTTTGTGATCGACAAGTTAGTAAAGTTTTCTTAACGACGAATTTTGAAAAAATTATTTGATTATAAAATTACTAATGTTCTTGATTTTAACAATTTAAATATCAACAGGTATGCTCTTGTTAAATATAATTTATTAAGCATTATAACAATATTTCTCGATGTTAATTTTTCTGGTGTGTGACCTTTGCTTGGGGTCGATTTAAATGTGTAAAAAGTAGGCAACTTATTTGTACTTATTGTTTAAGTACAAGTCCTTATAAAAAAAAAAACGTTAGCATATGTATCACATGGATATAATCAATTAAGAAGTTTCATTAAGCAGATATTTGATGTAAAACAATATTAATACCTGTGTAATTGTTAGAATAAAGTGTAATGTGAATAATTTAATTTTTCTCAATTAACAAAAATAATATTTAATATAAATTTTTGATTACTAATATGTTATAAATATTTTAAAAGTAGTAAAAATATTTATGTAATATAAATACTATTAAATTGTATTAAAGCTATGCTTAGATACTACTATGAAATAATTTAGAAGTTTGAGAATTAAAGTGTTTATGAAAAATACTTTAATTTAATGTCATAAAATTCTTTAAAAATTTTCTTAATTAATTATGTAAAAATATGTAATTTTGATTGTATTTTGCTCTATAGAAGAAATAGTATGTAATGTTAAAAATATTGTTGCAAATTTATCTTTATTGAAAAAATAAATTCTTTATAATTCAATTTAAAATATAATTTTTTTTTTTTTTATAATTAATTTATTAACTTTTGTTTAATTTCTGCATCAAATGTATACTTAAATTTATCTAATAAAAATAAGTGTTGCGCATTCTGTGTTATGTCTTAAGGCTGGATTAAGAAAATTTGACGGCTTTGGACCCAACAGAAAAATTTTTCTTCGCTTTGCACAGAATATTTTTTAATTATTTTTTTATTGGTAATATTTCATATATTTAATAGATCATAAAATACATAGAGATATCTTAGCTCAAAAGTTAATAAGTTTTTTAAAAATATTCAAAAGTTAATACTAAAAAAATACCATTTGGTTGAATAAAAAATAATCAAATACATATAACAAATAAGTTTTATTTTATTTTCAAGTTTTATCTATAGAAATTCAATAGCTAGTGTATGTCCATTTTAATATACTTTAATTTTAATATATTTAAATATTATGCATAATTATATAAATTTATCATGCTTATTATGTATTACACTTAATTTATGTTTATAGCAATCTCCAACTAAATGTACAATAATTAAAAAATATTTACATTGAATTTTTTTGTATTTTCTAAAAATTTTAATTGACGTATTTTATCATAGCCAATTGTATAGTAAACAATTATTATACTTCGATGGTGAAACACATAAATTATTATATATATATAAAAAAAGTGAAAATTATCCCTAATAACAATATAAATTTAAAAATAAATCTAGTAATTATAAAAATTTATTAAACAACTTGCCCTTGCAGTCATAATAATAAAAAACGTGTTAGATATTTTTATTAGAATTAATATTTTAAAATAATCAGGGAGGCTAACAATTAATAGCTTCTAAAAAATGTTGCTTTAATAAAAAAAAGGTCTTTTTTAAGACCTTGAAAAACATAATTACCTATTATAATTAAAAATCCAATTTATTATTACTTGTTTTTAACATTAGTGACCAATTAACTCAGAATATACACAAACCTACATTTATCAATGCAAATTACAGTATACAAAGACTAACTGAAATACTCATGTACAATCACAATAGAAAGTTTACAATTTATTCAATTTTATTGTTAAATAATAAAAAATGAATAAAAAAAGTGACATACTGATGTGTTTCTTCTGAATCCTGCTCTGGTCACGCTTATACATTTTACACTCTTTGACCATGATATAATTAATGATGCAACAGAAAAATTGCTACTTCCTTGTATACATCAAAAATTTTTCTCTCGGGTTAAAGATTAGAACATTTGTTTCCTTTAATGAGTCCCTGAGTTTATTCAGTGTTTAAATTATATATATTTTATGTATAGCAACAGGTACCCTATTTGATAAAGTAGATAAATAAATTAAAATAGATGAAATAAAAATTCATGTAGTATTTTTATTAAAAATTATTTATTATTCAAATTATTTTTTTATTATATTAATAATAACTTTTTAGTTCTTCTTTTTCCTGCCTTAATCCCAACTACTTGGGATCAGCCACTTCCTGTTGTGCCCGCGTAAATCTGAGATGGGACAATCCGTCTAAGTTTTGTTAAAGTTTCCTCATACTTTTTGACAAAATTTTATGCCGGCTATAGACCTGACACAACCTCATTAGTCTCCTCTTACGATTGGTAGTATGACTGGAAGTATTCTTATCCTCTATTCACAGGGTGATTCTATTTATAATAACTGAGTATAATTAACATTTAATGACTTTATAGTGACATTAGTTTTTATTATTTTTATACCTCATTCTTTGTTAGGTAAGAGATAATTAAAGTTAATATTTTTAATAAAAATTATAGAATTTTATGACTTTTTTATTAGCGCATAACCACAATTCCCATTCAAATTTTTAATACTCAATTTTCATTTTTATTAATGTTGTAATTATTTTTGTTATTTGTTTATTTAAAAATAATACATTTTGGTAATAAAATTATAGTAAATCATCAGTTCTAAAATGTTAAAAATATCTCTTCAACAAATAGTAATAATATTAGAAAACAAAAAAAATAGTATAATAAATGGTGAGCCATATTATAGGAAGTTATGTTAGGGTGATTGCTTTAATAGACCAGCGCTAACTATTTTTTTATAGAGCCAATATTTACCAAAGAAGTCTTTAAAACCTTTCTTTTGTTATTTTTTTGTTTTTAGAAAAATTTTTATCAAATAATTATCTCTTATCTCAAATAAATAACTAGTTTATTACAATTATAGGTAATTCTATACAAAAGATTTAATAAGAATTAAATCAAATTTATATAAAAAAAAATTTGTTCTTATTAGGTTAAACAATTTATTATTATAATTAATCTAAGTATTAATAATTTTATAATTTAGGTTGTTAAGTGACTGAATTCAGTAGTAAAATGTCAGAGAATATACAAGCTGTAATATCAACGTCAACTGTTGAAAATGGTTTTGAAGATAAAGATATCAAAGATAATAATAAGGTTGAATTAAAAAAAAAGAAAAACCTTAGACATCGTAAAGTACCTTCAACTGATTTAAGTAATGTAAGTGAATATTAGTAGTGCTTTTATTGCTATTATAATACAAATCATCTTATTATGTTAACACATTTTAAAATAAATAATACACAAAATATTTTGCTAATTGTTGTTTATTATTGCTAGCTTTTATAATTATTTACCCAATAAAAGAAACTTATGAAAGAAATCTAGCTTGCTTTTCATTCTAGTATACTAAATTTATGTTGGTAAGCTGCTACAATATTATGTTTTTTAATTGACCAATGACAAAAATTTCTATACTAATTATCAATTTCATTTGAATGAATGGATTATAGAATACTGTATTAGGTTCCAACTACTATCTGATAATAATTTTTAAACCATTCATATTTCATATTTTTATATTATTAAAATTTCTATTCAAAAATTAACTTTTAAAAAAGTGTTCCTAGAACTCCCTAGTGACAAAGGAAACTTTCTCTAAAAATAAATCCAACAATTTATTCTTATTCTAAGATTAATTCTAGAATTTTCAGGAAGATGCAGCTTCTGTTGCACAAGTTGAAATATTTACAAAAATGGCAAGTTAAAAATAATCCTTTCTTTAATAGATTATAATCACTGATATGTTTGTTTTATATTGGACCCAATCAAACTGTTTTATTTTAATAATAAGACTTAATATGTGGTAATTAAAAAATGAAATAAAGATTTTTTATATTTTAGAGTATATTTTTCTCTAAGTTTTCAATAAATATCTTTCTGAAGGTATATTATTGTGAAGAACCACGTTATCTCCAGATTTATCACATAAAACTAGTCTTAATTTATTAACAAAATTTTTTGTTGTCCACATTTGGAAGATTCATACAAAATGGGTGTTAAGTATTATTTTGGAAAGCAATTCATTTTGACATAAAACACTGTATATATCTCCTGAATGTAATAATATTTTGTACATAAATCTTTTATGTGCCCTAAAGATCTTTTTTGGCATTTTTGTGAACTGATTTTTTGTTGCCCAAGTGTAATTGTGTAATTTAATAGTATATATTAATCGTGGGAACAGAAGTCCCTTTGTTTTGTGTTTAAAGTATTAACCAGTCAAGCATGTAGTCCTTCTAGAACATTTGATGCTTGCTTAGCCCTTTTCAATGTATTGGGCCTATGGCTGCTGTCGCCTTTGGCAACACGCGAGTAGTTGTCAGCGACTTGTTTAAGAATCATATAGTTCATAGGGTCGAACCTGGACGGCTCTTCACTGAATCACTTTCACTAAATCTTTTATGTTATTAAGTATTAACTCATTAAAGTCGTAAAGTCAATTATAAGTGTTAATATATATTTAAATATAAATAATAGCAACTAATATTCAAACGCATTATCTCTTCATTTTGTCTACCGTATCAACACGGTCACAACAGCATGAAACTAATCATTTAGTATTTTATTTTATTTTTTGTGAAATATTAAATTTGTGTATTTTTCACTTACAATTAATTGCTTAGTGTTTTGTATGTGCTCATTGATTGTATTTTTCAGAAATCTGAAGATAATTGTTTGGAAAAAATTGATTTATTATCGGGTCCATCAAAAGAAAATAATGACGTAAGCAACGGTTTTAATTCAAAATTTCATTATATCATAGATAAAAAACAATTTATTTATTTATGAATTTTCAATAAGAATGACCAGTTCAGTTATTCATTGTTGTTAACTATAAAAACAAAATTTTAATTAATAACTCCGAAGCATAAAATTATTTATAGATGTTATATATAAATTAAGTAATTAAAAATTATATTCAACTTTAATGTAAATTAAAAACATAAGGAAAAGTAAGCTACAATTTGCAATATAATTGATGAATTACATAAAAATGAAGAATTTTAAAAGCTTACAAAAAAAAAAAATATATATATATATATATTTGTAGCAAAAAGTTGTACTATTTTTCATATTTCTAGAGTTTTGAAAAATTGTTTATATTTTAGATTACAACTTATGAAACATATGAAAATATGGATATTACCTCAATGGCTCAGGCAGAACTTCAACATGTTGCAGCCCAAGCTCGTGATCTCGGACGTAAAATGTGGAACGTTTGTCATTTTCATAATTTACCACAGTGGTTACAGGATAATGATTTTTTACACACTGGTCATAGACCTCCTTTAAATTCATTTCAAGCTTGTTTCCAGTCTATTTTCCGTATTCACACTGAAACTGGAAATATTTGGACACATTTATTAGGTATTTATAGCTCATAACAAAAAATAGTCATCTACTATAATTTTGTTGTTATTCAAATAGGATGCATTGCCTTTTTTGTTATGACCTTATATTTTGCAACCAGACCTGAAGAAGAATTATCTTTTCAAGATAAATTTGTTTTTATTACTTATTTTATTGGTGCTATTACCTGTATGGGATTATCGTTTGTGTTTCATACAGTTCATTGTCATTCAGAGACTGTTGGGAAACTTTTTAGCAAGTATGCCATATTTTGCTGCTTAATAATTAAAATTTGTTCATTAATGTACAACTTTTTATTGAGGTTGGATTACTGTGGAATTGCCATATTAATTATGGGGTCATTTGTGCCATGGCTTTATTATGGATTTTATTGTGAACCCTATTCATGGATATTGTATTTGGTACTAGTCATTGCTTTAGGATTGGTTTCGATGATAGTGGCATTGTGGGATAAATTTAGTGATCCCAGCTTAAGGCCATTAAGAGCAGGTATACTATTTTTTAGATATTCATTAACAATTTGTCTATGTATTAAGATACCTATTTAAATTTTTGTTGATAATAGTGTATAATTGAATAACTATATATATTATGCTATCTAATACAAAATTTAAAATTAGTTGTCAAAGAGGTCCATTTCTTTGCAAATCAATGCTACCCTTAAGTTTGCCAAGAAAACAATCTTTCTTGTTATTATTTAAATGCAATATTTTCTTTCACTCTCTTACAAAATTTACTATAAACCTCTTATAGATTTAACTAATAAGCAATAAATAGAATTTCTTTGGGGAAAAATTTGTCCGAAAAAAGAAATCCTTGTCGTTACAAGGATTTTTAAGTATAAATAGGGTTGAAAATGAACAGTCACACCGTTGAAGTATATACCTAAACTATTAATACTGACAATTTTATTAAAATAAGATTATTTTTGAGTCAGTTAGCTTTTAGTATAATATAACCATATAAAATTGTCAAATATTATAATTATTCAAGATATATTACAACTATTTTTCTTTGTAAATTTTTTTCAAAAAACTTACTTTTACCTGGGTAAAATTTTTTTTTTTGGAAATCCTAAAATATTCACTATTCAATGCGTATTTTCAAAAAATCCCAATTCTTTTGATAACCTTACATTTAATACAATTTTTTTATTTAGGGTAAAATTAAATATACTGCTATGAACTTTATGGAACAATACAGTTTTTCTCCCATAAATATTTTTCATAGTTAAAAATCATTTCATAATTTTACTAAAAATGTATTAATTTAATGACATTAATTCATATTTAATATACTAAGTTAATACATTTTACAGTAGCATAGAACTATTTACAACAGTAGGAGATTGTAAATAACTTTTTTTAATTTAAAATGATTCTTGGTTAATATTTTATTTGAAATTTTAAACAATAAAGCTTTAAATTTAAATTAGTTGTCATTAAATCTAACCAGCAGAATAAATTTGTAAAATTTAATAAAATATTCTACTACCTCATTTTACACCACCAAAGAAGTAAATTCGACACAGTAGATGGATTTTTTTAATAATTTGTTTTGAAAAAATAATTTGAGAAATAAAAAGTGTTTAATAGCAAGTATCATATATCTTAGATTTAAATTTGATTTTTGTTTTATTTAAAATATTTAAAATTAAGCTTATTACTTAGAGTTGAACATTATAGACCTGGTGTTCCATCATTGAAAATAAAAACATTGAGCATATTTTTTTCCAATCTAAAAAAATTTCATCTATACCAAGTATAATAAGCTTCATATATAAAACTCTTTAAAAATGAAGATTCATTAATATTGTTTCATTCATTTTACAGGAGTATTTATGACTTTTGGATTAATAGGTGTAATACCAGCTATGCATTATGGAGCAGTAGAAGGATTCTTTTCAAACTTTACATTAATAAGCCTTGGGTGGTTATTACTTATGGGATTTTTATACATTGCCGGAGCTTTATTATATGCTTTGCGAGTTCCAGAACGATTTTTCCCTGGAAAATGTGATTTATTGGTATTTTTTAGTTTTCATTACATTTACCACTTATATAATTATCACTCATATTATTTTTTGTACAGTTCCAGAGTCATCAAATTTTTCATGTATTGGTTATTTTAGCAGCTTTTGTACATTACCATGGTATTACTAAAATGGCTGAATATAGATTAAGTAATGGTGAATGTGAAGTCAGACCTGCAGTTGTATAGTTAGTTAAAAGTAGATATATAAAAATAATTGAGATATCTTACTACTGCCACCCAAAAAAAACCTATAATAATTAAATATTAACCATGGTATTCCTGTCTATATCAATTCCTTTTGGATATTTAAATCAGTTAAAAAATAAATGTGAATTTAAAACTATTTTTTAGATAAGTTTTTAGTTTATTTTATGTCTGCCTTATTTCAGTTTCCAGAGTTCTAAAATAATTTTCAATATAACAAAAAAGTAGTATTTTTCTATAGCTACTTATAAATTTAACTGGTGTTGTTGATTTATTTGATAAATATTCTAATATACATGAGTATAATTCTATCATTTAAAAATATTTTTAAATAAAATTATTAAAATATAAAATCTTAAAAAGTGTTTGACAACTTAATATTGCAAAATAGCTTAAATATTTATACTAATAACATTTAGTAATTAGAATTTCAAAGCTTGTTATTACAAATATAGGGTTAGTATTAAAAAGGAATATTATTCACAATTATTTTGTCTATAAATAATTTAAATTAAACTATGATTTGTATAAACAAAAGATAATTTATATTATAAGTTCTATATAAGAATATGATCTGTAAATGAAAAAGTTATTGTTTGTAGATTTCTATTTTTTTTTTGTGTATTTCAAGAAAAAATATCAATGCTTCATGATATTTCTTTAATTTTGGTAAAGTTCTGTTGATTAACCCATTGTTTTGATGTTTTTGGATAAGTTTATAATTAATAATTTTAGTTTAATTTTTCTTTTTTTGGCTGTGTTTACAAATAAAATACATTTAAATATAATGCAGGGAAAATTTTGGTATAAAATGTAGGCATTTTCTTATGCCATTCTTGTTAATTTAAAAGATTACTCATTGTTTTAGTCCTTGAAATATTTTTCAAAATGAATACACAGGTATTTCATTTACTTTAAGGCATTTTTACTAAAATGCTACTGTAAATTTAGTTGAAAAAAAATGTTATTTGTATAATTATATTTAATCATCTTTCATGTCATTGCTAACATTTTATGTCTATGTTTATTATTTCCAGTGTAATAGTGTATTTATGATTGCTTTGAACCTTAATTGATTTTAAAAATGTTGATTGTTATTAAAATTTAATAATTTGTGATGCTTTTCTGTTTTAATCTAATTTTGTTTTTAATTCAAATATTTTAGTAGGCTTTAATAATTATTAAATTATTATCCTGTGATAATAAAGTAATAATAAATATAGTTTTTATATAATGATAAAGTATTAGATATGAAAAAAATTAACTGTGTAATATATTATTTATGTTTTTTTTTATGTTATATATTATTATAAATAATATAATATAATATAGATAGAAACTATGTATATTTTATTATGATTTAAGTATATTAAATGTTCATTTGATAAATCATGTGTTCATCTATTAAACTTTTTAGTATATTTATAGCTATCAGTTTAAGAGTGGCCTAATCCACTTTTTTAAAGTGTACCTTAAATATTAATATAATATATATATAATTTAACCAAAATAGTTAAATAGTATTTTCTGGAATGTGGTTAAGTTTACAATTTAAAAAAATTAAAATATTGAATTTGATGATTCATAAAGAATATTTTATTGAAGTCTAATGTTTATTTTTCAAAAAGTGAGTTAGGACACTTTTGTGCTGATATCTTCATTTTTTGATGAAGTCTGATATTTTTTACAGGTTATTTTACATGCATTTTTGAAATAAAAAAAAGGAAAATTATGCACTGAAAATGTCAAAATTTGCAAAATAAATTTTTATTACACAAATTACGCTCTTAATGGAATTTGTTAATTTATTTAAATATTTCTTAAAATGTATTGATTCATATAAGAAAAATTATCTTTAAAAATAACATACATTATGTATTTGAATCATGGATTTTAGGATACTAGAGCAATTATTATTACTTTGGTATCTAAAAAAAATGATCAGTTTTACAACCTTCTATTTCCTGAACTTAGCATGTTATAGAAGGTGGTAATCCTCTTTCACATGTAAAGAAGTCAAAGATGGTTCTTGGCTAGGCCAATGATGGTTGAGACAAGTATTGTAACCGGCTTGCACTAGATACCAGACACCATCAATGAGAAATATCACAAAAAAATCTCATTGACGCTTTGAAGTTCGAACTCGAGACCCCGTACTCTTAAACATACGTTTTTACCTACTAGGCCAATTTAATAAAATGGATATCAATATTACATACATTTTATAGGACAATATTAATTGTAATTAAATCAAACTATGAATATTTAAAAAATTATATTTTATAATATTTATAAAACTCATTAAATTACAAATATTCAGGTATGTCAAGGAAGATATTTTATGTTGAAAAATTCTCGACATATTTTCCTTTGATGGTTTCATAGAAGGAATTAAGGAGTTCAATTAAAGTTGTTAAAAAAAAATAGAGTTAAAATTTTATTGTTAATTCATTTTGTTTTGTGTAAGAAAATAATGTTGGATATTTTATAATTATAAAAGATGATACATCGTTATTAATTACCAGTTGGAGATAAATGTTGCTTGTCCACGATGACACATAGTTGTTCTGGTCTAAGTGTTCTGCAGTTTTGCCAATACTATATTTTTTATTATTTTAAATAGACAAACCTACAAATATGAACAACAAAGCACGAAAATATTTTTAGTAATTTGTTAAATTTTATTTATACAAAAATTTTAATTCAGATTGTTTACTGTTTAACTAATCACTTTTTTAATTTTATATGTATATGTAACTTAATTAAAAATATACTAAATTATTTCAATGATGAATGATTGATGTCATATTGATTACCGGCTAAAGGTACTTTATTCTTAAGGAAAAAACATATACAGAGTGTTCTTTATAGTAAGTAAGGAAACAGGTACCTAATGTTCTTATTGTTTGTAACAATTGGCCTGCTTCCTTACCTACTGAACATTCTATTTATCACTAGCTCCAGGAATTAAATATTTCTGAACACACTACTGTCAGTACAAATTATTATTGTCTTGAAAACTTAATAATGCGTCAACACATTATTATCAGAGTAATATCCAGAATATTGTTCCAAGGGGTCCAAAATGTGCATAAATATATAGAAGGATGGGTTAGATTTTTTTATACAGAGCTATTCCTTATCTACGCACCACGATAAATATTAGAGTTAATCATAATTTTATTTTTTTAAGCAATAATGGTTCTTTGTTTAACTGCTTTACACAAAAAATAATTTTCTGTTATTAACATTTATACCCTAAAACCATACGAACTTTCAATTTTTAAATGGTAATACCTAGTTTTTTTCAATATTTTTAGATTTATTCAATTGAAAATAACACATTTTGTTCAAATAGACTTTTTATATTATTCGATTATCAATAAGTTAAAGCTGTCAAAATTTAAGATGGCAACATTATCATGTCGTATATCGATATACGTATTTCACTTTTTCTTTTATAATTCGTATTTTATATCTCATTTAGGCTTAATGTAAATAATTAATCCTGAAGTAAAATATTTTATATAAATAATAAAGTCATTCATTAATTTTGTATCTACATACCTATTTTCAGGTATACATTTGACATTATGAATAAAAACAGCTTTGAGGGGGTGTCAAAGTATCACTTGACTTTCAAGAATATTTGCATTACGAATTATAGAGCTGTAATATTCTTTAATTTTAAAATTATAAATATTTTTAGTATGATATGTTGAATTGTAAATAAAGATTTTTGTACGTACTTTGGACATTTTTTGATTAAGGATACAAGGTTAGATATATATAAATCAAAATAGTACGTTAATGGCTTATAAAATTTAATTTGTTATTTTTAAACTATAAAAATTATGTATCTACTACAAAAATTTTATTTTCAGGGAAAATTTATGACTATATTAACTTGTTGATGAAAGTCTTCTTTTTCCTCGCCTTAATCCCAACTACTTGGGGTCGGCCACCCTTATCCCAAACTTCCACTTGACACGATCTCCCACATCATGATACTCCTCCTATGCTTTTTACCCTAGTACAAGTGCCATCATACATATCTTCTATTATATTAATGTACCTTTTTGTGACTCCTTTTCTCATTAATGCTCACTTTAAAACCTCTCTCGGTACTCTGTCATACGCTTTCTCCAAATCTATAAATACCATACACAGCTTTTTCTTCTTTTCCCTAAATTTTTCTATAAGTTGTCTCACACAAAATACTGGCTCCATTGTTGACTTACCAGGCATAAATCCAAACTGGTTTTTAGATACCGATGTCTCATTTCTTATTCTCTTATCTAATATCTTTTCCCAAATTTTCATACTATGACTAACTTGTTGATGAAAGTAATTATTATAATTACTTTCATACTAAAAAGTAATTATTACTTTTTAGAAAAAATTATTTACTTATAGATAAAATTACTAGATATATATGTTCATATGTATATATTTCTGTAAGTAATTAAATTCGTATGATTTATTATATTTGGATGATAGATATAACCAATTTTTGTACAAAAATAAATAAATATTAAAAAAAAAAGCTGGAGATCTTAAATTTGTATTTTTAATATTTATTAAGTATTAATCATTTATAGTACCATAACTATTGAATCAATAAGGAATAATTATTTCTTATCGGAGTAAGTTTTTAAGAAGTAGACAATTTTTAAAAAATTATTAGGCTGAAAGTTTAATTAAAAACGATTTATGATCTTTTGACATATCGATGGGCAATATGAGTCCAGTAGAAGCTAACTAATTTGTATTACTGACAAAAAAAGCACAGCGTATAAAACTAATAGCTTCTTAGCTGCGTATTAAACCTTAACATAATAGAAATAACAATAAATTGGCGGTGTTGCATTAAAATATATTTATGCTTAATAAGATAGTGTTTTTATCTCAATTTATATATTTTGTTGGGTGGGTTTATTATTGCACTTAGCCCTTCATTTCTCATATTATAAAAGTAATCAAGTTATGGATTCCTATCATGGAAAAAATTTAAAAACTTGTTTGACTAAATGATCATTATAAATGTAATTTAAATCATAAATTATGATTCTTGTACTTAAAACTTAAATGGGTGACAAAAACACGCATTGTTTTTGGTATAATTGTATAACAAATATTCATTTGTCTGTATCCAATTATTTAATTAAAAGGAAGATATTTTTAAAAATGTATAGACGTTCACAGTGCCAGAAAACATAATAAAGAAGTTAAAAAAATTTAAAAAGAATATTAGTTATAAGCAGGCATTGATATAAACATAAATTATATTAATTAATTACATTACTATAGTATTTTAGTTTGAT